ATATATAATAGGTAAAAATATAAAATACTAATTATTTTTTGCTTGTCTTCGTAGAATGAATGTTACACCGCAGCTGATCTTCGACGAACTATAATTGTCCAGTTTATTTGCGGCTGGTGTATATATGAACGAAAGAGAATGAAATTCTGGAGGAATACTCGTTGGATACATCATCGTCGATGATTCGAAGCAACGTACGATAAATCATGGCGAATGTAATGGTCGATTAAATATCTTCCCGTGAATGAAAATGTTTCGTGTCACGCGATCGGCGTTAGATCACGTACAAGTTATCCGGTCGCCGGCGATAGCGGCAAATGGGTCGAGGCGTCGAGCTGAATTTCATTACGCTGAATCAAACACACCGCGAGCCAAGTTGTTTAACGTTTTCCGTCCGGTTCCCAACCTGTTGGCATCAGCAGAGATGGGCAAAATTCTTATCCGGATACGACTGCCTCGAACAACCGATAAAGGATCGAATCACGTTACTGGTCGAATTAAAATTAGAATTTTATAGCAAAGCTCGATGAACGAAACTAACAAAGTTCGTCGTTTTGTATCCAGGAAACGTGGTTCTCCACGAAATACATATTTCCAACTTGTGGATGCAGTGATGCGTGTCCGCGGTCGGAATTCGCGCTTTCTCCCAAAAAATTAGCACTCGCGTTTTATTACCAATTTTGCGCCGTTTCGTAAATTCAATTTCACTCGCCGAATATGGCGAAACAGCGTAGTTAAAAGTTGTCTGGTTTAGGTGGCAGTTTGTTTCCAAAAAACCAGTAGCGCGGGATTTTCACTCGGAAAAATTTTAACGGGAGATTCTAGAGGCCAAACTAAGGCGAAAATCAAGAATACCAATTTGTTGATGGCGGCTTTGTTAAAAAGTTATTAAAGTTTCAAGTTCCGCCCGAACTGAATTTTTTTCTTGACAATGTGCAGGTTTTCGGGGGTATGTTTACTCACCAAAAATGATTGTAATTAACCCCCGCAACTGAAAATAATTGTTTTTAAACGATTTGAAATTTTTTTTTCGCCGAAAAATTTAGGGACCTATTCGAATTTTTTTCTGGAAAGTGAGTAGGATTTCGGGGGTATGTCTATTCACCAAAAATGATTGTAATTGACTACCACATCTGAAAATATTTTTTTTAGAATGATTGGAAAAATTTGTTTTTTATCGAAAAATTTCGCACATTCTCGAATTTTTTTCTCGAAAATGGATAGGATTTCGGGGGTATGTCTATTCATAAAAAATGATTGTAATTGACCCCTGCAACTAAAGATAATTTTTTTAGAACGATTTGAAATTTTTTAATTTTGTCGAAAAATGTCACACCTTCTCGAATTTTTTTCTCGAAAATGGGTAGGATTTCGGGGGTATGTCTGTTCATCAAAAATAATTGTAATTGACCCCCGCAACCGAAAATAATTTTTCCAGAACGATTTGATATTTTTTAATTTAATTGTTAATAACTTTTTAACGAAGCCTCCGTCAACAAATTGGAATTCTTGATTTTCGTCTTATTTTGGCCTCTAGAATCCCCCATTAAAATTTCTCCCTGGGGTGGCCCCGAACACCCTGTATATTTTCGCGCGAATTTATTCCGAAAGTCATCGCGAAGTGAAAACTTTGGGGCCCCGGATATTATCAAATATCGAGAACTATCAAAAATTCAGAAGGAACAACGTCTAGCTCCAGACTCTGTCTTTCCGGTGTTTCCGCGAAATCCATTAAATCAGCGCCATTTCCTCGCCAACCTGCCGATAAATCCATCCACCCAGCGCGTGAAATTATTACGTTTCGTCGTCGGTTTTCGTGCATTCGATCCAGCGTTAAACGATGCCGAAACAATGTGCGTCGTTTCTGTCGATTCTGTCGAACAAGAGAAGCTTCTTGCAGCGACGAGACGGTGGCAAGACTCGATAGAATTGTCTGTTAATCGAACACGATACTTTTTTTACCAATCGCGTCGATCGATTACTGTTAAAAGTTTCCCCTCCATTGTCCAACAAATTGCAAGGAAAACTTGAAGCGTAGCTCGAGGAGAAGGTAGGATCTATTTTATTCGTGGCGATAGAAACTAAGATAAAAGAATATACAAGTGCAAATTGAATTTTATATAGTAGAACATCGTTGCGTACTCGATGTTGGAACAATGACGAATTGCTAATCTCCATTTAACCTTGTTCTCTTAGTTTGCTGTGATTCACCAGCCAGCAGGAAATTACGCGAGTGTCACGAAGCATCGATAAAATTTCACGAAGTCTCTCCCGCGGAAAACACGCTGAAAGAGCGGAGAATTGATAGGCAACGTTTCCTAGAGCAGCGACGATGGCACAGTCACGGTATAATCGTGTATCGCGGAAAGTAGCAGGAAAAAATGAAGTACCCACCTACCCAGTTACTTACAATTAACCATCTAAACTGTTTCAAGTGCAACAAAGTTTCTTTTAGTAAAAGGATCTCTGTTTTCACAAAGTTGGAACAGTTGAAGTTCGAAGTGTTCGAAGAAGAAATTAAAAGGTTTCTTCATGCCCTCAAAAGTAAAAAAACGTGGAGGAAATCGTCGTCAGCCACAGGAGAATGAATCTCAGCGCAGAGGATGTATCCCTTTCCTGTCCAGAGCTTCTTCGTTCTTACGAAGTTGGGGTACAAAAAACCCGTTCCCTCGTCGGTTTTAGCTCCGTTTCGAGGGCCGAAATTCCAGCAAAAGTGTTACGAATGCTTATCGTAAAAGACAAAAATAGAGCCTCCTAAGGGGGGGGGGGGACAGATTTTCATGGTTCCGGTCTCGGGTAAAGTATGGCGAATGATCGTGTTTCGAGGGAGAGCAAAGCGAAACGGAAAGATAGAGGGATAGGAGAGACACATCGTACGAGAGTGACGCGTGAATGTACGCGTGTGTGCATATAGATTTCAGAAGGGGGCTGAAATAGAACGTTTTCAGGCTCCGAGCAGTCCACGCGACGGCCGCGTTTCTCGTATAAATACACGTGTGCGGTTACCTTGGAGGTTTTCTACCCTACGCGGCGCGAACCGACAGACGGGGAGGGTACGTCCGAGGCGCCACGACGCCTAGACCCGATGCCTGGCGTCGCACGCAACCGTCGAACGTTTTATCAAAAGATTCCTTGCCTCGACGCCCCGCGCTTGTTTGTACTTTTTCCTGGAAAAAAAAACCCCCGAGAGCCCCCGCCATTGCTCACGAATATTTTATCTTCATCGACTGTTTCTTTTCCCGAACTATTAGTACCGCGAAGTAGTAGAACGACGCCGAGAGACTAAGGGGAGAAACGCGTATTTCCGTATCTGTATAAAACAACCTATTACGCTCGATAGTTGATACCTATTTTTATTCCCTATTATTACTATATAAAAAATTAAGATTATTTGTATCGTATAGCGTCGAGAACCTCTCCGATTTCAACGACATTGTGATATTACGAAGGTCAGTCAAGGTCAGGGCAAAGGTCACGGTAGTAGATGGTACCGATGCGATTAACATTGATTGTCGTATCGCAGACTATAGCTCGTGGCACGCAACCAACCGGAGAAATGATAAAAATAACAAATTGTCAGTTCCTCGAATCCAAGTTGTTATACAGGGTGGGTGGTAACTGGCGGTACAAGCGTAAAGGGGGTGATTCTACGCGAAAAAATGAGTCGAAAATATGGAATAAAAATTGTTCGTTCGAGGCCTTTGAATTTTGATCTCCCTGTAGATCGTTGTCTCGATGGATATTGTTGCAATTTAAGTTCAAAAATTAAGTTAATAAACAACTCCATGACACTGGAAGTATTTATCAACGAGAACTTCGATCGAGACAATGAAACGAACGAAACATTTTTATTTTATATTTTCGACTTATTTTTTCGCGTAGAATCACCCCCTTTTCGTTTGTACCACCCTTTACTTTTAGTCGAATAAGAAGATACCACGACTGGGCAAGGGATCTTGTATACTAAACGGTATCCAGACGGTATCCACCCCTTCGCGTACCGGATGTTTTAAAAGATTGCGCCAGAAATTAAGGGCAACCGGAAGTGTGCTCGCGTCTGTACGAAAATACGAGGAACGTTGAAAGAAAGTGACTGGCGAAGACAAGCAAATCGGTGTACATACTTGTAATGGTAACTCACAACCCTAACAGTTAGCTGGGGACAGATTGAACGCGAGTCTGGAACCAGTGGGGAGCGTTTTACGAATTTTAGCACGTCGTAAACTCCATCTATATCGCCATAATCATTCAACAAGAATTACACGTGCTATGGATTTTCCGAACAGCCGAAGAATTTTCTGTTAATAACTAGACTGAGGATCTTTATGCAAATTCACATTTTTATTAATAGAATTAACGGAATAAGAGCTTTGTAGAGGGTTGTTTCAATCCCTAAATATAATAATTCGTATCTTTAAGTATTTCTTATATTTTTGTATATTAAATGCGTTGTGTAGTTTTTTGAGGATTAAAATGTTCCCATAAATGCATAAACATCCGCAGTCTGTTAATAATAAACGGAAAGAGCGTTGTCTTTTATTCATAAGATAGTTTGTACTGTCGTGTGCGTAATTGCTCGTTTGTCGCGGAGCATTAAAAAAATAATAAGCCCCCTGGATATCGGTTTATCGATCGTGGGTTGCATTCACGCGTACTGTATATCGCCAACTTTCATATTCAGGCATTTCGTAACACGCAAAGACGTTAAACGTCCTCTTTCACGCTTCGCTATAGCGTACCAAAGAGGGATGACCGATTTCAAGTTTAAAGAACCCAAGCAGGATTTCTTTTAAGCATTTTCGTCCAACGTTAAAATGTTAAAAAAGTTATTAAAGTAGCAAAGTTATTCGGGTGGTCAAGATTAAGTGTCTCGCCTCTTTGTACGCGTACAAATATTTAACCGGAACACACGTATCCTTAAGATATATTTGAGTAAAAATCTGTAGAACTGGTTACCGATTACGTCGACGCTAAACGCGAACGTGCTTGTCTGTTTCCAGTGGATTGAACTTCCAAGATCTGATGGCCAGACAGGGCGCTATCGATTCCCCGCCGAAAACTCCTTTTATTATGGGATCCGAGTGCGCAGGTGACATCGAGCAGGTTGGAGAGGGCGTGGAGAACTTTAAAGTAAGTAAACGAGCACGTTGCATCGGCTAACAAAAATTTCACCGGTTACATTACCTGGCTTTAAACATTTTTTCTTTATTAATAACCGCTGCTTGCAAATTTTTAGAAATATTTTCCAACTGCCTGAACCAGATTTTTTTATGGATCCCCCACACACACAGGCAAACTGAAAAAGCGATATCGTATTTTAATCGCAAACCAGATATTTGCTTTATTTGACTGGTGCAAATATTTATTTTTCTGCCCGCCAACAGGTGTTCGAAGGTGTTTAAAAACTTATATCGTTGGTAAATATCTAATTGTGATAAACAGGACACATGTATGTAGACATTCCGATTTTTGAACGGCCATAACATCTACAATAGTCGATGGGTAGCATTTTTAAACTTTGACAAAGTTTTTTTTTTTTAATTTATCCATGATCAATTCGTAACCAACAAGGTTTTTTACATTTATAGTGAATCGCTATTATATAGTGTTCGAATACACTAAATTGTACGTATTTGCCTACTGTGACGATATAATTTTAAATTTATTATTAATGTAAAAGTGGGGAAATTTCCAAAATTTCATATCGTTCTAAAAAAAATATTTTCAGTTGCGGGGGTCAATTACAATCATTTTTGGTCGATAGACATACCCCCGAATTCCTACGCGTTTTCGAGAAAAAAATTCGAGAAGATGCCTAAATTTTTCGGCGAAAAAAAAAATTTTTAAATCGTTTTAAAAAAATTATTTTCAGTTGCTAGAGTCAATTACAATCATTTTTGGTCAATAGTCATACCCCCGAAATCCTACCCACTTTCGAGAAAAAAATTCGAAAAGGTATTAAACGCCATTTATTTCACAATTAAATGGTTGTTCGGAAGTTTATACTAATTTAGAAAAACATTGCAACGTTTATATGTTAAAGGCTCGCGGTTTCGAACGTTCAAAGGCTGCTCGATAACGAGAGCCACTTGCTTTGTCGTTAATAATTCCTTCCTGGCCGTCGAGCCTCTCCTAGAGTAGCGTCTATGAATTCTTTATCAGCTAGTCAAGAGAGTCGTATCTTTATGTATAAAATACATAACTCCGTTGGTCCATTAAGCGGATTCTGTTAAGTATCGAATCTAGAGTGGCGTCAGAATTTTTAGACTTGACGTCAGCGGGGGATCTCAGAAGATGGACGTAGCCCTCGAGCATATTTTTAATTAAAATACCAACTGGGCCGGAAGACGGAAAACGAAGGAATTTACTTTGAATTATTTCAGCTTCGTTAGAATAGTTGAGAGATGCCTTTGCGTCTAGCATACCGGGAGCTTGGGACATTTAATCAAATGGCCTATTCAATTCATTTAATTTTTCTTTTATTTACAATTCACAATTCTCTCCAAGAATTATTTAAAACAGTTTCTTAAATATATTAGCTCAATTTCGTAAGCTGGTACGTTTAAAAAAAATCTACGATAAAGGGAGGGACGGTATCCTCCAGACAAAACATCGCTGCTTTTCTTTTCTGGTTCGCGTAATATTTTTCACAGAATTGTGAGTCTCCGTAAAATGTTAGACATCTTGCACGAAGATGACCGCGGAGAAATCGATAGATTCGTCGAGGAGGATAAGAGTACTTCTCCACCCTCTCTCTCGACAACAATTTGTAATCAATTATCATATCAAACGGTTGTTCTTTGCGCCTCGTCTCTCCATTATTTACCGATGCATGTTTCATAGAATCGTTAGTGTATATACCACTTGAAACAGAATGTCGAAACATGCTCTTAGCTGCGATAGAACTTGCAATTGTCCACGGTAACTATGAAAAGGAAACATGGCAAAAGATAGATCCTCTCGCCTACGAATTTTTCCTTTCCTCGCTGGAAAAGGAAGTTCTATAGCCCGGTTCTAGTTCCAGGAATCACTCTTGTAGGGGAGATTATCCCGTAAAGGGAGGAATAAACGGCACGAAACGGAGAGAATCGAACCGTCCCGTCTTCTACATAGAAACGCGACAATGCTGAGAATTCGTGGAAGTTTCCGGGATTGGGGGAGGGGGGGTGGGGGGTGTCGAGTCAGGGCGCGTCCACTACGTAAAAGGAAATTCGAATATTCCATCTTCACAGTGGCGGTTCTCGAGGGAGACTATGCATCGTGGCAACTTGAAATATCCATTTTGCAACGTTTTTGATACGTTTCAGACAATTCGATATCAACGATATATCGATAACTAGACTGCGGATGTTTATGCATTTATGGGAACATTTTAATCCTCAAAAAACTACAGAATGCACTTGATATACAAAAGTACAAGAAATAATTAAAATTAAATACGAATTATTATACTTACGGGTTGAGACAGCCCTCTGCGAAGCTTCTATTAATAAAAATGTGAATTGCATAAAGATTCGCAGTCTATCGATAACTTATGGATGATCGATGGCAGGTGCTCTCCACCACCGACCGGAAGTTGTCAGCAATTCTAGACCAAAGGGGGGGTGGGTAGCTATATCCCCGTAACGAATTTTACGGCGTTCGAGCAGTCGTGATGTTTACCCCCCGGCCTTGAATTTTTCACCCAGTAATCTTTCCACGAGGGTGGAGACCCCCACGGTACTTTTCCGAGTCCGTGACTCGAAGATTCCGCCCGGGAAAAAACGGTTCCTCTCCTCTCCTCGGGCGTTCGCTCGGGGGTGGTCTATTTTCGCGACTCGCGAAACTCCTCGAGGTCACGCGGGAGGAGAAGGGGGGGGGGGTGAGGGAGAGGCCAAGTTTAAGGCTTAGGGTCAGATATCCGAGCAGCACGTGTAAACGACCTGCTAAGGGAGAGGGAAATCTACGTAGTAAAGCTCTCAAGCGTTTCAACCTCTCTCTATCTCTCTCTCTTTCTCTCTCTCGTAGCAATGGCGCGCCCAGAAACTTACAAAACAGAGGACCTTCGGGTCAACGATTGTTAACCCTGCTTTGGGGTCTCCCGAACACTTTTACACTACCGTGTATTGTTTTTTTTTATTAATTTTTACTATTGTAGGATTTAAGGGGGGGAACCTCATGTAAATGGCCTGTTTTTCAAGAATTTTTTTGCACAGATTCATTTAAAATTTGAAGTATCATTTATTAACGTTATAATGTAAAGAAAAATATTTTTTATAAATTTTAATTATTAATAACAATGGTGCAATGGTGGCTTTCCTACCAATTTAAGCAAAACAAAAACATGCTCAAAAATTTCATTTTACATGAGGTTCCCCCCTTAACGAAGAGGATTTATTTGAGGGACAAATATACAAATCATATAATTATAGTAAACGAATTTGTAACACACAAATTAATAATCAGCAACAGAAATTGAAAATTAATAAATTAAAATCACATTAATTGACAACACAAATTAAAATCCCTTCTTTCTTCAACGAAACACTTTCGACACTTTTGCACGTAAATTAACATCGAACAAAACTACAGCGTGGCACAAATATTCGATACAAATCTACACTATTATCAAAAAATATATATCTATCATATTAAACTCCTGTGCACTTTCGTAACTTTCAAAATATGGGTTACAGAGAAAACTTTTATACATAAAAGTTGCATGGTTCGAAGGGATACCTATATACCAATAACCTCGTGATCCTCAGATCGTGAACATTGTTGTTTTATCCTTGGCTCTGGCATCACCTGGGGGTAATTGGATTCGAAAAATAACTAGACTTCTCTTCATTATCCGAGTCTCGAGAAGAGTTGTTTGATCGAAGTATACAGTGTTTGCAAGGACGTTGTTTTCCTTGGGGTTTCTCTTACATACAGTCTATTGCTCGATTCCCCCTAGAGATGCAACCCTTGCCTCCTCGAGAGAAAAATAGGTCAGAGAATAGAGAAGTTTTAACGAGATACCTGACGATGGAGGCTTTTGAGGCTCGTGAGGCTTGGCACGATAAATCGTGAGCTGATCGAGGAATGCAGTAACGGTTTTTATCGCGCGTTGAGACATTTGGCTACTTATTTTCAGGTGGGCGATCGAGTGGTCGCGCTTCCTGATCACAAAGCGTGGGCAGAGCTCGTTTCGGTACCAGCGACGTCCGTTTTCGCGTTGCCACCAGGAATGAGCTACCTCGACGCTGCAGCGATCACGATGAACTACACTGTTGCATACATTCTGCTCTTCGAGCTGGCCAACCTGGCGCCCGGGAAAAGTCTACTGCTTCACAGCGCCGGGGGCGGCGTGGTAAGTTCCCAATTATTTATTTTAAAACTTGTAATTCGTAATCTTTATATCGTTACTGAAGTTGTTGCACGTTTCCTGGAGTCTAGATTCTTTTGAACGGCTGATATCTAAAAAATGGATCGATTAGATGGGCCTCGATGAACATTAGAAGCACTTCTGCGCCGAGTCCTGTTTCTTGGACAGGATTCGCCCTTTATTTACCACCCATGGATCTAACGCGTTGAGTCTGTCGACTGGTTTACCGGATTTCGAAACAATACTTGCACCGGATTAGAGATCTACTCTCATTGGATTACTCCCGAGAATAATACGTCTCTCTTACTTGTTCGTTTAATCCTTTGCACTCCTATGTCATCAGTTATTATCTCAGGAGCTCCATTTTTAAAGAGATATCGTACACTTAAAAATTACAAAATACTACAATAGTGTAAATAAAACAGATATTTAATAGAATTTGTTTGCTCCTCTACTTGTTTAAATTGCTTTGCATTATGTTGGGAGCTGCTGGTAACAAAATTGAAATATAATTCGGAGTGCAAAGGGTTAATGGAAGGTAAAATAAAACGCGAAGGGATATAGTTCTCCGTTACAAACACAGTGATCTCTCTAATCTCTGTGTTTGTCCTTTTTTATATCTTCTTTATATGCATATTACATGTATATGAAGTAGTACAACAAAAAAAGCAAAATAAGAAGCGCGTAAAAGGCGAGGCCAGGCCTAAAGTGCCGCTATAAAACTCAATCTCATATTAAGTTGGGGTCTAATGGCATCGCGGAGCGTTAAACTTCTGCTTTTACAGCGCGCTACTAGGCTTATTATTATTAGACTGCGGATGTTTATGCATTTATGGGAAATTTTAATCTTCAAAAAGCTCCAGAATTTAGTTAATATTTAAGAATATAAGAAATACTTCAAGCAAGATACGAATTACTATATCTAGGGGTTGAGACAACCCTCTACAAAGCTCCAATTTCCGCAGTCTAATTATTACGATCGTAGTAAACGATTTAAAAGATAAATTTAAATATATTCGGTGTTCGTAAACGCGCTCTAATTATTCTATTTCCGTGTGCCCGCATCCGTGTGTTGCTTCAATCAATACCGATTCGTTGGCTACTTAAAGGTTAAAGAAAAGAGGGGGGGGGATAATATAATTCGTAAAAGAGATAAATTGAAGAGGGAATCGGCGATTGGTAAACGTAAACGAGATATGCAGGGTTCGAGTTTGTTGGCCCGCGAGAAAAATCGCCACCGAGTGATCCGTGAAAGCGGGACTCTTTCTCTTTCAATGTCGCCGAAGGAGAAGGCAATGGCTGGGGGGGGGGTGAGGAACGTCGGGATCAATACGGCTCAACAGGTTAGACTCGAAGCTAACTACATCGCTCCCGCGCAGCCCTGTACCGTTCGTTGGGGAAGTTGAGACGACGAAATCTGCGGGGGATGCTGCTACGGAAGAGCGAGAGAGAGGAGAGGACACGCTGGGGGTGTGAGGGTTGCCTGGCAACCCTTCGTTCTCTCATCGACCACCGTCACGGGCCGCGCCCGTCTGAGACCACACCACCACCGACACGTGCTATCCACTCTGCCCTTAAGCTCCGTTCACACGACCGGCTTAATTCGATTTCGCGTCTCCGGCTTCCGAACTCGAGACCATTGCTATTCGAGGGTGTTGTTTACCCGGAAACCGAGTCTACATTCGCTCGATATACTCGTCTATTGTCTACCAATCGTTTTAACTTGTATACCAAACGCGCGTGATACCTCTATCGCTCGATTCTATGAATTTTATTTTAGAGACATGTTCTATTTTACGCTAGATCGTTCCCTAAACGCGTGACTTCACCGAGGCAACATGTAGCTTGCGACGAAACACAATTTTATCAAGGCAACATTTAGACAAATTTTAGGAAATCGACGTTATGTAGACACTTGACACGTGTATTTGCCACACATTCGTTTGTTTCTTTTACGAAATAAAGAAATGATATTTGATATTGATATTGATTATTTGATATTGTTTCGTCGACAAGTAGCATGCTACAGGTCGCATAGTGTTGCCTCGGTGGAATCATACCTTTAAGAAGCGTTTCTTAACTTTTGCTCCCGTGTATGATCGATGTTTTGGTTGCACATTTTTTTAGGCGTAGCATTTAAATATGAATAGCTTTGCACAGGATGTCCTACTTAACTCGAGCACCTTAAATATTTCCGGTTGCTTTCGGGGACACGGCGAAACATTGCGGGAACAGTTTTTGGTTCGAAGGGGAAACTTGTATTTCAAGGTTGCTTTTTACGAAATTGCAAATTGTCTCGAACGCTTTTAATCGTTTGAATTTAAACGCGAGAAAGTTTAAAAGAAGCCAGGTTTTATTTGATTTTCGTTGAACCGGTAGCAGCGTGATGCAATTAGTTCGGTGTAAAGAAAATTGCAAAGTTGACCCGTTTCTACGACCGCTGGAATATATGCAACCCCTAAACTAATTAAATACACTCTCGCGTGGATACCCATTGTCTGCGGATTGCTTAAACTTGTTACGCAGTGTGTGCACGGCAGAGAGCTGGTTAAATTCGGGTTGACGGCGTTAACGAGAAAATCTTACATTTCGCGCCACTGATTCAACCCTTTGCGCTCGACGTCAGTTTTTATCTCAGGAGCTCCTTTTTCAAGTCCAAACCAATAGATAACAAGTAACAAACACGATCGTTTCGATAGAAAGCTTTATTTTTAAGTTTTATTTTCGTACAACCAGAAGGAAAACACAAAGATTGTGTATAAAACAAAAAATTACCTGAACGAAGAAGAGAAATTAATTTTGTTTAAATTGCCCTTTTTTTTATTAACGTAAATTTCAAAAGAAACACTTAAAAACTCTGGGAGCTGCTGGTAACAAAATTGAGATATAATTGTGAGTGCAAAGGGTTAATATAAAAATTGTTATTTTATTAATACTAAAGTTTAAAAAATGTTTGGAGACCGTCAGTCGTGTGTTATAAATTCGAGTGGACGCATCGTCGAGAAAATGTTCCGTTTGAGGTATCCGACTTAATTACAGCGCTATTGTTATTCGAGGCGTTGTTCGTTAAATAATTAAATATGCAGTCGCGCGAATGCCATTGTCTTCCGTTGCTTAAACTTGTTACGAAGTATGCGCGGTACAGTTTGTAAAACTCGGTAGACGCGTTAACGAGAAAATCTTTCCATTCCGCGTTTCTGGGATTTCTGGGTTCAAGTATTATTATTTAGGAAGCTGGCTAGCGAGTAATTAAATGTATATTCGCGCGAATTCCTCGAACTTGTGACTCGCGTGTATCGAAGAAATTTTATTAACCCTTTCGTTCTGACTGTATCGCTTTTGTTAACCAGGGGTGATGGAAGCTTCTTTCTTTTTTCATTAACTAAATAGTATAATGATTAAGGTGTTATTAACAGCTTCTAGAAATTAGGAATTGTAAACATAGAGGCACCGAACAAATATGGCGACTGAAAGAATGAAACTCTGGCTAGTAAAGTCACGTACGCGTGACAACAGCCGTCAAAGCGTTAGCAACGAAGCAAATTGTATTTCTTGCGTTGAGAAAGGCGTTTGGTTGTCCCGCGGAATGGAGAATATGGAGAAGACGGATCCCATTCGCAGCGTACAATGTCGGGGCGTCGCGACGCCGTCGTCCCGGTAAAACCGTGCGGTCGGGGGCCACGAAAACCGCACTTTTCTTCCCTGTCGCGGTATATATCATCCGGGAAAAGACGAGGTTCCCCGTTGGGCAAGCGAGTCACGTCCGCGGGAAAAGCTGGAAAAAGCACTTGACTCGAAAAATTACATTTCTTGATCACGTCGGATTTTTCCACTTTCGACCACCCGCGGAACTCATATTTCCCCCTCTCTGTCTACCTATACAGTTATCTAGTTTCTGTGAACTACAGACACACGCAGAGTCAGAGATTAAATTTTGATCGATATATTTAACCTCCGTTATATATACATATTCAGTAACAGGCCGATAAACTGATACACACAGTTTGCACGAACGAGGTCTTGAGTTATACGAGCGTTTTTTTACCCGGTGCTCTGCGTTTTCCAACGCGTTCGTATACAGCCTGAATAGTTTTTTTTCCCCCCCCATGCAGCACGCGACGCCATCGTAAAAAAAAAAAAAACGCTTATCTAACCGGGGAGCTCAAAGGTCTTCCGAGAGCACGTCCTTGTTTTCAAATTTCTTCTTCTAAAGTAGTATAGAAAAATATACTTCGAGACAGTTTTGGACAATATATAACACGGTTAACGATTTACAATTATGTTTACAAGGTAGTTACACGGTTTAATTATAATTTATGATTATGATTACACAGTAATTGCATAGCAATTACACGATAATCATAATCGTAAATCGTTGTTTGATTACACGTTGCCCAACGCTGCTTCCAAAGTATTTATCGTTAAAAGAATGTTCGTTTTATGAGAATAACCAGAATGGCGAGAAATAACTGGAAATAACGATAACAGGCAGATATCCTATTTAATAGAAGCAACAAGTGTTGTACATTGTATCGTTTTTAAATGAAATTTTTGCTAGAATAATGTTATGAAACTGGTACCAGATTATCTTTTGTAGTTTGCATTTTATTTCTATTCAAAGTTCTCCAACTCTTATTGGAAGATCTCTATATATACAGGGGGTGATTCTACGCGAAAAAATAAGTCAAAAATATGGAATAAAAATTTTTCATTTGAGGCTTTGTTTTCGAGAAAATCGGCTTTGAATTTTCGCTGTAGATCATTGTCTCGATCGAAGTTCACGTTGATAAATATACTTCCAGTGTCATGGAGTTGTTTATTAACTTAAATTGCAATAATATCCATCGAGACAACGATCTACAGCGAGATCCATTATAACAAAACATGATCAAGTGCACGTGTACTCAGCGAAAATTCAAGGTCGATTTTCTCGAAAACGAAGCCTCGAACGTAAAATTTTTATTCCATATTTTCGACTTATTTTTTCGCGTAGAATCACCCCCCTTTCGCTTGTGCCGCCAGTTAGCAACCACCCTGTATATTAATTGCCAGTTCGACTAATTATGTCATGGTTCTGCCGCGGTCGTTATCGTCGATCCAAGAGACGAATAAATATGAAAGAATGTATATTTCCACGGCTAGTTGAGATGCCCCTTTTATGACGTACAATTTGGAGCGGCTTCTTAACATTCTGGCCCGTCCTCCGCTCCCTTTCCCTTTTTGCTACCTTTTGCCTTTTTTCTCCCTTAAATTCTTATGCCTCTTTCCTGGGTCCTCTTTGGTTCACCGGGGCCCACAGGATCGGCCGTGTTATTGGGTATCGAATTCTCTCGACAACGCAGGCCAGGCCAGGCAGACAGAAGAGCGGTCAGCTCGATTCTCGGAAATAATGAATGCTGCTTCTGTTGAAAACTCTCTCCACTCCCGCTTCGTGCTCAATTTTTACCCCTCTCGAGGAAACACTCGAGGAATTAATGGGGTTACGTGTTTTAAGAGAACGCTGTAGAGTCTTATAGATCAGGATCCAAGCACCGTTGTTTACGTGTCTGCAAGTAAAGCTATTAATATTCATTTTAATCGGTTCTTTCTGTTTTAGGGTCAGGCGGTGGTTCAGCTTGCAAAAACCGTCAAGGACGTGACCATCTTCGGTGTGTGCAGTAAATCAAAACACGAGGCTCTGAAAGCCGCTGGCACTATCGACCATCTATTGGAACGGGGCACAGATTACTGCAACGAAGTCAGAAAGTAAGCGTGGCGACGCCTGGTCGGGTGTTTTTTAAACTACCTTATTCACTTGTCTCGATTCTTATCGCAGGATATCCCCCGAGGGCGTGGATATAGTTCTCGATTGCCTCTGCGGCGAGGAATGCAACAAGGGATACGCGTTGCTGAAACCTATGGGGAAATACATCCTTTACGGGTCTAGTAATGTGGTCACCGGCGAGACGAAGAGCTTCTTCTCGGCGGCGCGATCAGTACGTGATGTATACCACTCGATTATTCTGTTACCTTTCGCAGAGATAGATGTGCATCGTTTCTCGCGATATTACCCACCCTCCCTGGGGAGCCAGACTGTGTATTCCAGAGACAGGCATAATTGAAACACCCGTTAAATACCGAGCACGATTACATCAGGTCAATCGGAATGTTCCGTCCGTTTTTTTGCAAAAAGTAAAGGTTTTTTCCCATCTTTCTTATCTGGCTGAAAATGCAAGCATATCCTTTTATACTTTTATGCGCTGAATTTTATCGAAAGATGTCAAAACTGAAAAGTTAACCTCTCCTTAGACGTTACGATCAACGACAGTTCTAGCTTCGGCTACTCGACACCAGATGGACGACGAAACTTTACGGTTAACCTAATATTAACGATTTAATCGTTTTCCAGTGGTGGCAAGTGGACAAGGTGTCGCCCATAAAGCTCTTCGACGAGAACAAAACGCTGTCCGGATTGAATCTTCGTCACTTGATGTATCAGCACGGCAGCCACGCGTTCGTACGACGAGCAGTGGATCGAGTGTTCACTATGTGGAACGAGGGTAAGATAAAGCCGATGGTGGACTCGACGTGGGCATTGGAGGACGTGCCGGAAGCCATGCAGAAGATGCACGATCGCAAGAACATCGGCAAGATCGTTCTGGATCCGAGTCTGGAGCCCAAGCCGAAACCGGCGACGCCCGCAAAGGGAAAAACGAAGGACAAGAAGGCGGCGAGCCAAGAGGAGAAGAAAGCGTCGAGCGTGGAGTCGGAGGAAGGCGAGAAGAAGAAGGAGCCTGAATTGACAAACGGAACGTCCGAAGACAAATCCGATAGCGGTAAATAAGGAATAAATTACTCATTGATCGAAAGATTAGTCGTCGATTGCTCTTTTTAAATCAAATATATTAAACCACTACCGTTTGACTTCCCTATCTTAAATATATTCAGTATTCTTTCTTTGATTTTAGATTCGAAAGAGAAAGAATCGAGCTGAATCAGCAGTAGCTGATTCGATTATGCGTATATATATTTACATATAAATATATATATAATGCAAAAAGCGAAACTGATATTCCACAAAGATCAAGGATCCTCAGATAAGTACTATTTCATTATTAAAAAAAAAGATAAAAAAACGGATCATCTGCAATTGTTGCCACAGGTCGTGGAAGTTGAATTTGATCCGAACGATTTATTGAAACGATCTCCGAAACATCGTACGCGGATGACGAATTTTAACTTGTTCTTCGATGAAAGGCAAACTGGAATTAGAATCGAGCGACGTTTTACGCGAGTGAAATTAATGAATTTTTTAAAAATATGTCTGGTTTCGTTGAAGTGGGCATTCGTTTGAGCTCGATCGGATTTAGTAAAACATGGCTCGTTTCCTTCCAGGAAAGAATATCTGCATGCTTCTGTTCTCCTCTCGTTTGTTTGCGCTGTGAGTTCGAGGGAATCGTGAGTGAAAGTGGTGCAAAAAAAAATGGAAAAAAAAAAAGAGAAAGAAAGAAACACAAAAAAAAAGGAACGAAAAAATAAAGAATGAGTAACACAATCATCCCCCGTGTGCGAACAAGAAGGAAACAAAGATAGAAACAAACGACAACCAAATACAAATATCAATTTCGACGCGGTCCACAGTAGTTTACAGAATATAAAAGAACTATTATTTTTATTTTTTCACACTGACCAAAACGAATTGATTTCACATAGAGTGAACGCTTGTTGCACGCCAGATTCGTTGGGCAGTCTATTTAAAAGGTAGCGGATTGGTTTTATTTTTTAACGTGTTCTTTCGACGATTTTCATCCACCGGACTACTCGTACTTATCAGAAATATCGAGAAAATGAAAGAAAAAGGAGGAAAAACATTGATAAAAACCGCCCAACGATCCTGCGCTGGCCAGCAAATCGCTACTTTATTTACTCGCATTGACTACTATTCGCTGCTGCGATACATATATATGCAGTAACATTTTACACTACTATAATAGTACCATTTATTGTAATTTAATAGAATATGGTAATCTAATTGAGCTTTGAGGGTGGGAATTGCGTAGAGAAACGATAGAAAGAGTGAGAGAGTGAGAGTGCCCGCCTAAAAGCTGAAAGGAAAAGCGACTGTATATTACTCTTTTACGCGTGTCTCCTTTTTTTTACTTTTTATCAATGATGTTTTTACTCCCGTCTTTTTTATTATCAAATATTGTCAACGCTACACCACCACGTAGTTTGAAAGTTGTTTTTTAACGAGAGAGGATGGTCTTGTATTCCTCTTAATCATTTTAGATACGTGTGTCTCTAAATTCTGTGAAATCGATAAATATATCATAATTGCTACTGCCATAGCGCCCGGACACAGTCGGCGAGAACGTTTGTAAAGAGAAAAATCGACTTTTGCAACGATTTACCAACGATACGCCTCTGTTGCCACGATAAATCGTTTGTCAGTTTAAAAAATTTTCCATACAAAAATAGGGTAGCGTTTTAAAATAATAATTTTACTTCTTTTGACTATAATTCTTTCAGGCTGATGTCTGGGAATGAATCTCATTTCGATGATCTATTCGTAACGGAGTACCTTCCAAAATGAAACCAATTTGTAAATCGAACTTTCTAATTTATATTGTCGAGTGCAGATCTGAACGGTTGCATGAGAGGTGCACGCTAGCGCAATTTATTTGTTGAATCGGAACGAACGAATGTTTTAATGATGTTGAGAGGAAAAAAAAAAAGAAAACGATGATGTCGCCGATCTTTGTCATCTTATTAGGTGAAACTCGAGATTTTTACCTCGAACGATGAAAAGAAAAAGGAAAGAAAATAGATGGAAACGGAATGAAAACGGCTCGGTAAAAGAGCGGCGCGTTGATGCAGAGTAAAATGCATATCTCTCCGAAACGGTTGGAACAATTTTTATGTAGCTCGATTCTGTTAGAATTTGATACTAGCTCTGTATACCGATATATCTATATTATAAAAGATCACTATAACGAAAAGTTGCGGACGAGGGGGAGCTATACATATTATATATAAATATAAATATAAATAAATGAGTAAATAATTAAAGTAAGCCGACGAACGTGTCGTCTTCGTGGGTCGTTGTTGGTCGACGCGTAAAAAAAAAAAAAAGGTGTAAGAACTATAAGATTTATTAACTATATTAACTACTATTACTGCCGTATCGAGTCTCTCAGTCCAAAAAGTACCACGGAGTACTTGCAATCTCATCAAGAACTTATATTATATCGATTTCTGTAAACGAGAAATGGCAATGCAAACGAGAAAAAAAAAAAAAAAAATGAAGAGTAGGGAAATAGATAAGCTCCGCGGAGTAAAAAAGGTTGACTGTGGCTACATATTTTGAGACATCTTTTAAACACGTAAGAGTACAGCCGATGATAAATTAAGTTCGACACGACGTAAATCTCTCTGCGCGAGAAACAAAAAAAGAAAAAAAAAAAAAAACATGGTACACGTTTATTCATATACACGCGACGATACACATCATATTGTATATTTTATGTAAGGCTTTAAATGTTTCATCAAATAACTCTATTATATTATAATATATCTATATATTTGTATCGATCGTTTTCCCTATCCTGATTATTGGTTTAGGTCCGGAATATTGTATCAACGTCCTGGAATGTCTGTAATTAATATCCGGCGTACATTCCGAATTAGTTAATCTTGTCGAACAACTGTTACCAAAGAGGTACGCGTGCAGGGTGTTTGCATCGCTATTGTCTAATAACATTCTTGGGAATGAATGGCATAAAAAAGAATTTTACTATTTTTTTTTTTACAAGAAATGCTACGATTATTGGAACGTTTTTAAACCAACGCATTTCTTATAAAAAACAATCCCAAATTATTCCAGTTATTTCGATGAAAGATGTTTAAGCGATGCGAACACCTTGTATATAGGTCATTGGCCAGCATTGCTCATACTAATGGTAACAGAAACAAAGAACGAGGGAAACTGTTTAAGCTGCCTTGTGTACAGAACTGCTTTAAATTGTCACACGAAACGACACAGCAGCTCGTCATAAAACAATCGATCCAACGATCTTTTTGCATTTATAGCAGCCGGGCCTTAGTTACAGACACGCACTTTCGAATCTTTACCTCTCGATCTTGTTCGAAGCTAACATTATTTTTGCGCCGTTCGACGTTTACAAACTTGTTCCTGCATTTTTTTTTAAGCGAGAAAACTGACATTTGTGCTCGGAACACTTTCAGTACTTATTTCTCGAATCACAAACGTAATCTAAAGCAAGATCAAGCGGTAGAATTGCAGAGATCGGTCGATTTTAATAGACTGTTCGATATGTTGTTCAGCACTCCGAGCGAACCCTCGTCTTACAAAAGAAACACGAATCATTTTACGGCCATCTTGACCTAATGTAATTTAACGTGATGAGCAAAAGTTAATTTGTTTGTCGAAAAAATTGTATCCTTAAAAAGAAAAAAAAAAGATGATACCAAACGGCAGATTACAGGTTATTTAACTACGATCGAACGAAGGGTTCACCGATAATAGGACCAAATGATATAATTCCGTTGCCCCGGATAGAAAAGATGCGGTGACGTGTAACGATCTTTTTTCCCCGACTTTTTTTACGTATTTTTTCCGTTAACCGAGACCTAGCTGTCATCGTGGGAGAACAGGACCTACAGTTTCGCAACGTGATACATCATATAATTATGTGTAAAATTGTAAAATTCGTCTTGGGGGGGTCCAGGCGAAAGGGCACGTGTTTTCTTTGCTCCCCGGAATGTTCTTTTGACCCTTCCGGATACGCCAGAGGGCGCTCGAGAAGGAAAACAAAACATTTTTCGCCTGTTCTCCGAAAGCTCGATATATAGATTGTATTTTTGGCTTATTATTGTAAGACTGACTATGTTGCTATATTAATGATTGCTTCGAAAATATGTACAGCTGTGTTTGGCTCATTCATCCTAGTACTTGTCCTCAGTTCTTCTGACTTATTTGACCGGTCGTTTTTCTACGTCGAACCTATCCAACATGTGCATAAACGCTTATGGCCGTTAGGAAAATATACCGAAAGTGGTACCAACATATGCAAACATACACAGACTGTTCATTTGAGAACGTTACACCTTAAAAAGCATTTGATTATAAATATCTAATTACTTATTGCCTACCCATTTCAATAAATATAAGTTTACTGTAGAAGGGTAATTTACAAACGAGAAAAGGTTGTTAAAAGTATTTTTATTGTTTATCCGTATAAAGGTTATAAAACTTAAAAATATATTCAACACACGTTAAATGCTTCTCTCTCGTTAATAGTTTAAATATATTTTCGGGCGGTTCGCACGAGCGAGAATCAGCTTTTTACAAGATTTAAGATTATCAATAATTTAACATGCACGTAGATATGTTATTTTATTAGAAAAATTAGAGATCCCCGTTTCACGCGTATCTAAAATATACGTTGACTACTCTGACAAGGAATTGCAGATGTGCTTGTATTTTTCAAACTCAAGTTAGTTATATCGAAAATTGTTTCAACTTTTATGCAGTCAACGTGTTAAACATAGGTATAAAACCGTGATCTCTATTAAAAATCGTTGCTGTACGTGCCCACACGTTAAAAGTGTTATTATTAATAGTACAATAGTACAAAGCAGACTTCTTTAAGGACGGTATATTGACGCTATATGCGCTACGATACTGTTTGTGCGACAAGATTTCTTTTGAAAAATCTCCAGTAAACTTCAATATTTAACGCAAATGTTGAGTATATTAAGTTTAATTTTTAATAAAGATATCAACCGATATCTCAGTTTCTAAAATTCTGTCGCACGTTTTCAAAGTATCGGTCATATAACATTCCAGAAAACTTACTTAAGAGTTCATATTGTAATCTTAGAATAAATGCTACTTTACTAAAATAGATCTTTGATGTTCGAACAGGCAAATCACACTATACAAAAGAATAGAGATTCTCTTTGTAGAGGCAAACACATTTGGACGAATACCTCGTAACTTTCGCGCTAAAACGACATTAATGTCGAGAGTTCGTACTAACCTACTATTTACATATTACCAACCAGAACCAACAGCAACTTTTCCTAATCGAAATCCTTGGATTCACGAATTGTTCAAAAAACGTCATCAAGGCACAATTTATGTATAAAACGTATAAGAATAACATTCTATTGTTTTCTAGCGTCGAATGAATTTGAACATAATTTCATAAATTGTTAAGAAAAGTTGCAGAGAAATCTTCACAAAAGTAAAGTTGTATACGTTAGATATAGTTGAAGTAGAAAATGAGAAAAATTGTTGTTTCCAATGAGAACATTACCAGTACTTGGAAGTGAAACTATTACAAGTTACCGTGTACTCTATTTTTAGATGCTTTAAATATTCTTTTCATTCTTTACTACTAAGAAGAACTATAAAAAGTTTTTCTTTTTGGTGTGACACGCTTATTGCGCGAAACTCGACCTCGACTAAATTTCATTTGTACTTGAGATTCTTTGCCTCCTAGAACACATTTCTGTAACTGCATAAACGGTGAAAAACATTGAACAAATCGATACCTCATCGACTAACAACATTAAATTACATAAAATATCAGACGCTTTAGTTTAAAAGACGTATAAAAAATATGCATTTAGGACCGTATAGATCTCATCAAATTGCGCTCGAGTTGTACATACATACGCGCTGAATATAAAATTTTCGATATACATTATAACAAATAATAAATGGACGGATTTATATCGTAACTAGGCCGATAGAACGTTACAAAAAAGAACAAAGTACGAAGTAAAATTAGCTGGAACATTGGAAAACTCGTGTTGCTATCTGTATTATATGCAGATACTGTTCCAGCTATGCACCAAAATATTTAATCCGCAATTAGTAAGTAACTCTTCTGTCGTAATAGTAATACTTGTGTGCTCTTTAATAAATTTACGGACGGCATTGTGGAATGATGTAAGTAGAGAAAACATGGCAATGTTGTATAAAACGTAAAACATGAAACAGAAGCGTTGTTTCCTCTCTTTCGTTTGAAAATTTGTACGCGATATTACGTGTCGAGACTAACCAACGCTAAACTCTTGTGTTCGAAAATAGCTCGTCACAACAACCAGAAGAGAAACCATGATCAGGAGACTTGTTGGCATGGCGAACATTGTGGCAATATTATAAATCGGACAATATGGACACTGAGAGCTGCCACAGACCTCGCATATGTTCAACGTGTACGTGGAGAGAGCATCGAATATCGTTTCGTTGAATCGTTCTGAAAATAATTTAACAAATCAATCAGATTGAATGGGATTTGAAATTTTTGGGAGGGATGAATCGTGTTGAGTTAATCGTGCATTACTGTACCTGGCGAATAATAATCGTAGACTCTGATAGGATGGTACCGTGACATATTTGCAACCGGATACCATCTCTCTATCGTAAAGTTCACGCATGTTTCCTCTTGATCTAGATAATCGAAGTAAAAGAGAATCTTCTTCTCTTGGAACCTTGCCCTTTGAAGGTTTCTCACTTGTCTCGATAGAATATACCTATCCAAGGTTTGCTGTTGGATTATGTAACCCGTTGGTATGGCTACGTCCAGCACTGCCATTCCAGAACGCGAAGACTCCTTTATATTCATCCATCTGTTAAAAAAATTAAATAGATAATAGATTCCCAAAAGAAAAAAGAGGAGACAACAACGTGGAAATAAATATTATACCTCTGACAACTGAGATATGAAATGTGAGACTGATTTCTGCCATGGAAGTTTGCTCTGGTGACCAAGTCGAAGGCTTTGACCGGTGGTTGGGTTTGGAACTTGGCAATGTCTACGTTGTATTGTACAGACATTTGCAGAATCGCGTATCCAGCACCTTTTGCTTGTACTTTGACCGTTCCCCATGCTTCTGGTATCTCAATCGTTTGAAGCCTTGCCAGATTATTATCGTTAACATACAACGTTTTAGTTTGTCCTGGGAGTGCTGTAGCTTCTACGGTCACAGTCAAAGAGCTAACGTCTCTGATTCTGGACCTAACCGTGTAATCCATTAAAGCTTTCAATGCCCACGCAGTGTCTTGAGTGGAAGCCCAACCACCGTCAGTTAGTCTCTGCGCGTTCAACCATTTTACAATAGGTTCTATCATCGTTTCCTGTCGCGCAACGTGAACCAGAAGCGCGTACGCGGTGGTTTCAATATTCTCGGAGTCGTATCTGTACGGTAAACGCGGCAGAAGGAACGGTTTCTGATTTTCAAGCTTGTAAGGAGGAAGGGGCACTTGTTCCCTTCCCCAGTAAGTCAAACCTCCTTCTCTGCGCGCGTGTCTGGCCAAGATATTGAAAGCCTGGCCAGCGATAGAAGCTTTTGCCAACAGCAGAGCATACGATACTATTGATATTTCATACGGGTTTCCGCGATCTTCTAAAAGCTTCAAATTTCTTTCCAACCATTTAACCGCGTGAGCAGCGCTTACAGCGACCTGGGTTCCCAAACCTTCGGGCAAATCTTTTACGCTTTGCAACGTGATGAGAACATGAGCTGTGAGGCTGATGTTTCTGTGTACTATTATGTCATCCACGTAATTCAGAGAGCTGTTCATTTTTCGATCCGGCAGCCACGTGACTTCGTAAAACGATCCGTCTGGCGTTTGGTGTCTCAGTAACCAGGACACAGCCTGGGCTATCACCTCGGGATCTATGTACAAGTAATTCTCCCATTCGTAGAAACGAGCTTCTTGCAAGATGCGCGCGCAATACGCCGTCAGCCAAACGCTAGGCGCGGACTGGTTCCAGTCGCTACGGAATAAACTGAAGGAACCATCGGGATTCATGAACGACAGTTGTCGCTGGTAGCCGATATTCATGTAATAAAAGCTTTCCTTCTCCTGTGTTCGGTTACGTTGGTTCACCAAACGCATGTACAGTATCGTGTACAAGTTGGCTGCGAAACTGAACATGTTTTGTTCGGCACAATCCATAGGAAGATTTATGAGACTGGTAGCATTGACGGGCATCGTAGGAAATATTGGACCGACGACGTCCCCGACTACGCTTATCACCGCCTTGTTCGATCCAAACACGTAATAGCGATTTTCGTTGTACGGTATGATCGGAGTTTCCGTGACGTTAACATGCATGTACTGGAACACGTAAGCACGATTACTCAGATCAAGTAGAATAGACTGATGTCGATACTGTGGAACACCATCAGCTTCTACGTGCAAATTACGGGTAACCGAATCTCTTCCAATTACAGTGGTGGCGTAAATGTGTACTTTGATGTCCCCGAGCCTGACAGGTACAATTGGCAAGTAGACGATAGCAGCATCCTGCGCAGGTATCCAAATGAAAAACTGATGTTCGCCAAACGACGTACGAGGTTTGTACGATTGCACGATGCCGTTATCCTCGACGTGAACGAATTTGTAATCGTTAGAACCAGCCAAGACTACTATTGCCTCGATGTTGTGGCACAGGTAATTGAAAATGGAAACTCGGATACCGATTTGCTCGCCTTGACGACTATGAGTAGGCATCTCCACGTTTATATAAAACGGTAAGACACCCATATATTCGAGCGCCTTTGGCAACATACCAAAACCCATACTAGGCGACATACTGAACGCAGTCACCATCCAATGAACCGGTCTCCGCGGTACGTCTATATTAAATATGTACCTCCCGTGAGGACCAATGTTGATGTCTTTCCATAACCAAACGTTTTCGTATTGTCTCTGTACTCTGTTGGACCTCCACTTTCTGAACAACGCTATTTCAGTGTTATTTCTGTATTCGCAAACCGCTTCGTCCGTGCCATCCTCGCAATCGAATGTCCCGTCACATTTTTTCTCTAATCTGTAACACCTTCCGGAAAGGCATTCACCGTATCCTTGAGTCTGATTGCAATTATCTGGCCTTCGGTAAACAAAAGCATCTGTAAAAACAATTAATCCAATATATTCGAAAGTTCTGTTTGCATCTATGCCAAACGTTGAAGACGGATAGTAGACTACTTCGTCCGGATCGCCATCGTGGTACAACCAAGTATGAGAATGTGTACCGTTTGTTGCCTCGTCGAAATGTGCCATTTTCGTAATTACATTAGAGTACGTTATTTCGTTTCCAGCTTGCATAGTGAAGAAGGATCGATCTATACCCGACAGAGCAACGTATGCTCCTGGCTCTCCGTAAATAGCTACTTCAACATTCTCACCTGTTCTAGCTTTTTTATCGTTAATGTACACGGTGAAATTATTACGTGAAATACCATTCACAGAAAATGTTAGCGAGTCCGCTACAACATTAGCATACTGTCCGATATGATACACCATGATAGTTGAAACAGGAGCCATCTCTGCACTGAGGGGAACAGCAAACGTTTTTATGTTGTGTTGCATGTTGTCCTGCCCGGTTAAAAGTATGATACCCTTCGCCATGATAATGTAGTTAAACGTATCGATATAGAAGTTTGTTTGAACGTGGAACACCATGTATTCTCCAACTTTAGGCTTCTCCGTGGATGTTGAAATTTTGATATGTTGTTGATTTGGGGATTCATGGGCTAACAGTAACAGCTCGGTTTGCGCCTTAGCTCCCTCTCCGTCTGTGAGAAAAGCATAAATTTTCATAGAAGCTATATCGTTCAAAATATATTGGGCTTGATCTGTATTCTGTTCGAGCCCCAATTGCCTCCTCAGATCGATCTTCGTGGACCAGACAGCCGCGTTATCCGCGGATACCTTTAAAAATCGAGTCTCCATGGTTCTACGACCACCTGTTTTCATTTCGATGTCTGCACGGATCTCCACCGTTGCTCCCCTCAGTTGCGTGTGCCTTAATGCGGAATTGTCGTGAAACGATGCCACTAAATTTATAGAAAATGGCATCGACGGTTTAAAGATTTGCGGCGAACCGCCTAAGAATCGAATCTTTGATGTTGAATTAAAAATACGAGCCGTCGAATATCCTGTGATTACCTCTTCCAGAAACCTTTCCCCAACGGTAGCGACCACGGTAATTTCCACACCGGTCGCGGAAGGTGCGAAGGTCAATAGCTCCGACATTGGGTATCGAAAATGGTACGTTCCGTTGAAAAATCTCAGAACGGGTACTGTATCTTCGTAAAGCGATGGTATTTTCAACCAAGACGGATAATATTCGTCGAAGTAGAAATACCTTTCGGTTGACTCGGAAGCAACTTCTTCCCGTGTTTTATCCACGGATCTGAAGCTCGCTTTCAAGGTCAAGTTCCCTCTGACCGGTGCACCGCTGGTATAATTTGCTTGAACCGTGCCGTATATGTAAGGATCGTTATCGAAGAAAAATGCAGGCATCGTAACGTTCACTTCGAAGCGTGTCTGATAATATTCCTCTATCACGAACGCCTTTTCTTCCACTTGACCTTGCGCTATTACCTGTATAATCCACTCTCCGTAAACGGGCTGATCCGAGAGCTGATACGACAGGGACACTGTACCCAAGTTACTCTGTCTACTCAACCAACGTCTCATTATTCTCCTATGTGGATCTAACATGTATACGTCGATAGGATTATTGAACGCTTTAAGTTCGGTATTTATGGGTATAGTCCTGAATCGTACAGTCTCTCCCTGCATGTACACAGGCTTGTCCAACTGAATGAAAATAGTCATTGATCTTTGAGAGAATGTGAGTTTGGTCTCATTTACGAATGCCTGACCACCGGTTAAACTGTTGTACATTCCTTCCACCCTTAGCTTATATTCTCCTCCCACTGAAGTAGATGGCATCCTCATCAGTAGGGTTTCCGGTATTCCTTCTTTCACTTCTTGATAGTCGGCAGCAATTTCTGCACCATTTCTTTGAATGGATGCATGCACTGTCATTGGTAGTGGGCTGTATAAGACATTTACAGCCACCCGGTAGGTTTTACCAGGTCTTACCATTCGGGATGCGACCACAAAATATGTACTATAAATAAAATTATAAATGTATATTATTATTTTTCAAAACATGTAATAAAAATTAGTGTTCATTGCCAAATAAAGCCTACTCTCCAGCCACGTGCATTTTCGACAAAAATTTACTCGTTAAAGCTTTAAACGTTCGGTGTGTAAACTAGCTCGATAATTCATACCGGGATCAAACTTTCGAGTCATTTTTCTTAATTAAACGATATTTATCAAACTTACGCTTCTTTTATTATAATACTGTCACTTGGATTTCCAAGATTTCGTGGTCCGAATCCAGTTTGTTCTCTGTCATCGAATCGATTCCACGGGGAACGCGTCGATTCGTTTGGCTCTTGCGAGAACTGACCGTTCCCGCAAGCAAAGGTTAACGCCAAAATGCAGAGCCACATTTTCTGCAACATACAACGACTGAAACGTTCACGATTGTTTGCAAACAACAAGAGCTGTCATTTCTTCGTTAAAAAGAACGCCGAGGAACTGTTTGGCCATTAATCGCGGGCAAAATCTACGGTCAACGCCCAAAATACGCGTTCACTCGCTGGCATTTCATTCTCGCTTACCTCGCTGGATTAATTATGTTTTTTTTTTCCCCCCAATCAAATCCACGTATCACGATCGATCGCCACTGATTCACACCTGTGCATTAAAACTGTTAATAGAACGTTCCGTAAGAAAATAAAAATAAACTTTTGGGCCCGTTAAATGCACCTTTGAATAGATTTCATGACTTGTAGGAGTGGTCGCCCAAATACACTCCACGGATGCCAGACGGTGCCCCTTTCTCACACTATGACACATGCCCTCTTCTTCGATTCTACGAAGCTGCCCGAAGTAATTTCGGAGAGTCTCGTGGGAGTCGAGAGAGGAAGGCTCACAGTTGCCCTCTCGCTCTTGAACAACTGAAATTCGATCTTACGTCAACGGTTTATGATTTGGAATCTCGACTACCAAAGCATTTCTACTTTTCGACCTACGAAGGTACACATAAACCAATTACCATAATGAAAGTAAAATAACGTAATATTTTGTTGATATATTCCCGACAAACGGACCGTTCACCGATCGGGTTGATTTATACGTCGTTCGATCCGCCTAATTCGGTACATTATTAATATGCATTTCATTATTTGCGGAAATTCGTCATTTTTGTTTAGACAAAAAAAAGTAAGGTTAAGTATATTTTGACAGGTTCGCAGGTAGAAACAAATCACTGTCGATCGGTAAACGGTTCCTATATTAAAAATAAGTTCAAAGTGTCTAGTTAACATTACATTTATTTGTAGGTATTGAATAGTGAATGAAGTCGTACAGATTTGTTTAACGTTACTTTTACAAATTTGTGAGTAACAATGGTGATGGAAGAACAGCAATCGGATATGGAACTAGACTCGGAGAGAATTCCTGTTCCTCAAGTGCAGAAGTTAGGAACAGTGGAGACAGTGAATAATGTCACAAATATTTCACGAGGGAAACCCAGACTCAGAAAAAAAGCGTTACACGCTGCAATACTTGCGCAGATAGAATTTTATTTTAGCGATGCAAATTTAAGCAAAGATCGATTTTTAAGTAATTTAATTCAACAAAACCCATGTAAGGAAATTAAGCTTTATTTTATTTTTATTGTACAGAGAACTTCTTTATAATTTTTTCTTGCTTTTTAACATTTTTCAGACGTCGACTTAAACGTTTTTCTCAGATTTAATAAGATTCAAGAATTAACTACAGATGTAAACAGAATAACCAAAGCTCTACAAGCGTCGACGATGTTATCATTGTCCGAAAATGGAACAAAGGTTCATCGCATAACACCAATAGTACCAAAAGAAAATACAGACGACTGTACAGTTTATGTACAAAATTTACCGCCGGATACAGATCACGAAAGATTGAAGTCATTGTTTTCTCAGTATGGTCCGGTGGTGTATGTTTCATTACCGCGGTACAGGCATAATAAGAAAATAAAAGGTTTTGCATTCGTGGAATTTGATACTCCGGACAGTGTTAAGAAATGTCTTAAGGTAAAAAGAAATGAATCAATTTCGAAATAGAATACTTTGATTTTAGTTGTTTTGTATCATCGAATGAGCTGTTTACTTGTTTTTGTAGGCTTTTCAGAAGAAAGGATGTGTATTGCCTTTACACACTGCTCCCAATGAACTTTTAAGCATTACTACTTTCGATACAGATGAAAAAAATGTGATACAAAAGAAAAGAATAATAAATTCAAGCGAAAACAACATATATACAACAAATACTATTAAAACTGAAGATTTGCAAAATGTTGAAAACTATGAGAAAGGACATGCAACTGTAGACAATACTTCAGAGTTTCATGAAAATGAAGGTAAAAAGAAGGCAAGAAAGAGGAAGCACAAGGATACAGAAATGTTACAAACAGATGGTATGGAAAAACAAATAGATGCTGAAGTAATATCAAAATCCAGAAAGAAAAGTTCGAAATCTGCTACTGATACGTGTAGCGATGAAAAGCAAAGTGATATTTCTTTAGATATTATACCAGCAGACTTGATTAAACAAGAGGAAGGTATATCTATAAAGGAGGAACAAACATTGGATAATGGTGATGATAGCGAACAAATGATAACCGAAAATAGTGCAACTGTAGCTGTCGAGGAACAAGAGGATACAAGCGAGAAAAAAAAGAAGAGAAAACGCAAAAGGCGAAGCAAAACAGAGGACATTGGTTACAATATGCAGCTACAAGTGATTGCTAAAAAAGACTGGAAACATCTTAGAAATAAATACTTGGAATTACAGAGAAGTAAAATGAAGCAACTCAAACAACATTTGAGAAAAACAAGATGGAATCAATGGTGTAATTATGAGAAAATTAAACCGGAGAAAGAAGAAAACGACGAGAAAGAAAAGGCGACCAAAGAAAACAATGAAAATACGCAACGTTTCACATTTACTCCCGGAGTTATAGTTAAGATTAAATTGGATACGCCATGTACAGATCCAAAACAATTTAAGGTATGTCGTAATTAGTGATAACTAAGAAAAACAAAATTCAATTTATTAACGTATTCGAATTATTTCAGATGGAATTAAAAGGGAATAATTGCATAAAATACGTAGATGTTAAAGAAGGTTCTTTCCTTGTTTATGTGAGATTCGACACAAGTGATGCTGCGCAAACGTTCACGCAAAAATCTAGCGAAGGACAACACCCAACGATATTAGATGGTAATGATATTGTACGTATTTACTTCATGAACATAATTTGATCGCTTTAATTATTTTTTGTGCAGGCGAAGAAGAAAAATTATATTGGAACAAAATCACATATGATAGAGAGGAAAAGTTGGGTAAAAAGGTGAAAACTAAACAGAGAGGTAGGACTAAGCTATTAAAAAAGGCGGAGAAGGAACTCGGAAAACATATTAAGTTTGATGAAGTGTAAAAATAGAAACATTATTTTCTTATGAAATATGTTTATTTGTATATAAAACACGAGATGTTTTTATATTATAAATGTCATTGCAGAACCATGAATTATAAATATTATTTAACAAACTATTGGTGAAAATAAATCAAGTATTACTTCAATTATATTTGCCTTTAAAATAATACATACGATTATTCATAGTTTTGTCTTCTTAATGAAAGTAATGTATTCTTATTACTCGATATTGTCTTTATATAAAAATTCATTTAAACTTTCAGTTATCTACCATTTTCCCCTTCCACGACCTCTACTAGAATCGTTACGTCGAAAACCTCCTCCACCGCCGCGACCTCCACCACCTCCTCCTCCGCGACCTCCGCCGCCTCCTCTACCACCAAAACCTCCACGTCCAAACGATGGTCTACCTCCTCCGACACGACCACCACGTCCACCCCCACCTCTCTTCATTCCTCTACCGCCAATGCCACCTCCTTTTTTATTTTCTCCAGGAGGTTTAGGCAAAAACCTTTGTAAAGGTAATAATTTTGCAGGATCTATAAAAAGCTGAAATAAAATCAAACAATAATTATCAATAATACTATTATCGCTAAATCCAATTTACGTACATAAGAAGTGTCATACCTTTACATCCTTTTGGAAGCTAGATGCTCTTATATTTTCCGATAGCTTTATAGAAACATAGTAATCTCTAATGTTACCAAATATTTCATCTATTTTTCCAACTTGCTGTTTATTTTCTGTATAAATGGGAGCATTAAAGAAAGGCACTTGTTCTATGTCTACTTTGGCAACAAGATCATCTTGGACTGTCCATGTAAAGTGACCCAAAGATGTTACTTCTTCTGGTGGACCCTGGTCGTACCTAAATATTATGTTTATATAGAATGTAAAGATTTTTAGAACGGTTTACACGTCTTCGTGGAATAAATAAATATAATAATTACCCCCTTCCGCCCCTATCAAATCCACCGCCTCCACGACCTCCGCGAAAACCTCTTCCACCACGAAATCCACCACCGCCTCCACCTCTTCCAAATCCACCCCCGCCGCTGCCGCCACCACCACCACCGCGACCTCGAAACATTTTTCTATGTTACGATTACTACAAAAATAAATTATAATTAATTTTTACATCAAGATTATACGATAGGAAATCGTACGAGTAAGCACGTGTCTAACCTATAAAAAGATATGCCGGTCAGACAACAAAATTCTTATTTCTATACACTTATGCAACTACTATAAATTGCACGATACGTCAGTCATAATTCTAACTCTATATTCTTTATATAAATACTGTTACAACACGTTACTAAAAATTGGCGGCATTTCATTGATTCGATCAAACACGTTTTACAATGCGTACAGCGTGCGACAATGTTCACGCAAATCTACACCAAATATGCTATACTGCGCATGTGCACCGATTGGCCGTTGATTTGTGGTAGTTATTAAAAATTCATTCTATCTCTAACGTAAGTCCAAGTTCATTCGAAACTCGATCACACCTATCTCGTGGTTTAAAAATATATAAAAATAATTTAGAAATACCAGTGTTAAACAAAGTGTGGTAGATTTGAGCGAAATAACCAATCGAAGTTCGAAACGATCTTTCACGTTCTACCGTATTAAAGTCTCTAGTCCAATAGTCTTCAACATAACCTAGGAAAGATTTGGCGTTAGCGATTATCCTTTGTTACTTCCCTTTCGTTCATTTTGTTACGACATATCGTCCGAATAGCCATTTTATTGTTAGCCATGTCGAATGAGAGAAAGCAATTTTTAAAATGCGAAGTGATACGGCTGTCGATCGATGGAAAGAAAACAGCCGAGATCGCGACAGAGTTAAAGATCTCGGAAAGAACAGTGAGGCACTATATAAAAAGGTATCGGGAAATGGGCGAAGAAGGGTTGGCCGATCGTCGTCGCTATAATGGACCGCAGCGCAAGACATCGGAGGAACAAGACGTTGCAATTGTCCAGGAAATTGTTAACAATCCCTTCGAGAGTGCGGCGAGTGTGTCTCATAAACTTCATTTGCCGGTATGCGCGAATACCGTGCGAAGACGTTTGCGGGAAGCCGGTTTCCATTGTCATCGGCTCACGCGTAAAGTGTTGTTGTCGCAAACGCAGTGCGAGGACCGTACAGCGTTTGCGTTGCAACAGCTGACTGTGTCGCAATCCGAATGGGATGTAACAATTTTCTCGGACGAAAAAACGTTTTCTTCGACCGACAGTACTGCGGCCCACGTATGGCGACCGGACGAAGTCAGCAGATACGATTCCAAGCATGTCGTACCGCGAAGAGACAGCGGGCACGTTACTTGTGCGATGTGGGGGTGGATAAGCGTTCACGGCCCTGGTGAACTCGTTGAAGTATCGCCATGCATGAATTCTTCTGAATATATTGAAATTTTGGAGGATGTTCTTGTGCCTAGCGTTCGTGCAATATATCCAGAAGAAGAACTACCAGCGATCAGACTGGTCCAAGGCAATAGCGCTGTATATACTTCCCCGTTGGTCCAAGAATGGTTTGCCGAACATCCTGACATTAACGTAATACAATGGCCTACCATGTCACCAGATTTAAACTTAATAGATAACGTATGGGCGCATATGTTTAATTCTTGGGGATCTGCCGACGTTGCAACAACCAGGGAATGTTTGGTAAACCAGGCGATGTGCGCGTGGGAAGACTTGAGGAATGAACCTGAGTTTTTCACTCATTTGTACGAGTCTGTCCAAAACCGTTTTCATCAAGTGATTGATAGGAACGGTCAGTGGACCGATTTTTAAAATTACATTTTTATATAGTTTCTCACTGTCATTCTGAGCCGTGTTTTTTGGACTTTGCTCTGGCTAACTATCTTCTGTATGCTCCTTTTGCAAACTGGCAGGTACAGCATAAAAATAAATAGAATATTTGTATTTCCCTTTGGAAGAAAATAACTCTAATAACTAAAGAAGTATTTAGATGTAAAGTTTTCAAACGAACATCCTGTGTATAAACACAGGCTTATCGGTACTTTACACGTGTCGTATTGTATGTTAATTTTTCAGGTAACAAGTATCTGCATGGCCTGATACAACAGGCAATGTTCTTTAAAATTATTCGACATAGCAGGCTGAACCATAAATGGCCTTGTTCAAAGCCGACAAATGTTTTATGTTGAAATGACTTTCTGAACGCTAGTACATACGTATTTAATAAATGATACTTTACTCGATGCACTGATAACCTGCTTTAAACTAAAAAAGTAATATACTATGATATTAGTTAACTGTATTGTGTAGCTTGTGTATAGGTTGTATACTAAAAGAGAACTTGTTTAAAGCGTAGGAGGCAACCGTGTCATGCATACGAGACTTCTAAAGGAAAAGAATCTTTAAAGGCCTGGATACCTTAAGGGATTATGTCGCTTTGATGGCGACAAAACAGAGGGTATTTTTATGAATCTTTTGTAACAGTAAATATTTGTTCAAGATGAATTTTCTAACCTTAAATTATCTTTACTTTTACGCAGGAAAGAGAAAATATTCAGGAATAGAAAACTATAAGCTAGTCTTATTTTTTTTTTACAAGTTTATTAACTATAATTTTTTATTTGAAATGATTCAACAAAAGCCAACATAATTGATTTACAATTAACAATTATCACCCAAGACTTAATTTGTAATATCTACAATCTCGCAAAGTAGTTTGAGGTATGAATGTACGTATGTACAAAGAAATGTTTTCCAACCTTTCATTTTGTTTTATTGAAAAATTTATTGTTATTTTAGATAACTTCGTGACAATTGAAGAGGATCGTTTGTTGTTTACGTGTTGAGGCTACAGAATACATTAATGTTTTACTTTGTATAACATTCAGTGCATAGGTGTATGATTAGGAAATTTTGGATATTATAAAACAATTTCTATGTATGGTATTAAACCTTTCATGCTTTAATCACACCTGCCCTTTTACATACTGTTTTAAAACGGAAGAAATGGTCGCATTACGCATTACATTGTCGTGAACAAAGTTAAATTACGATCGTGATCTGATCGCTAACCTAAGACGGAGGTTAATAGTGTCTTCTGACAAGAATAGGACTGTTTCTGGACAAGTTTGGGCCTTTGGCGTTAATTGTGAAGCATTTATAACTGATCTAAATTACCTAGTACTATATCGTTGTATTAATAAATAAATTAAAATTTGTTTTCGATCGTAAATAATTGGAACGCCATCTAGTGTGTAAAAAGTAAATTATTTCGCGACAAACTTGGGCGTTTTATGGTAGATGTCGTCTTGATATATGTATATAGATATACATTGAATAGGTAGAGTAGTGCCCATTTTAATATCCGCGTAATCCCCATCAGTGCCCGTTATCCGAGCGTGGACACTTAAGTGGGCACTATCTAATGATTTCGTGAAGTTGCATCGAGTGCTGACCTGACCTGACACAGAGATGCCAGAAAAACACCGTCGGGTACACACTCACACATGCCAGATACGCGTACGTGAGCTCGTGGAGTTTCGGAAAGACACGACAAAGGCAAACTGACGCATGCGCTCTTTCTCGATTCTCCGAAGCTGCCCGAAGTAATTTCGGACCGCTTCGTGGAAGTCGAGAGAGAAAGGCTCACATTTGTCTTCTCGCTCCCACACAACTGAAATCCGACCTCCCGTCAACGGCATACGATTTGGATTCTCGACTGCCCAGGCATTTTTACTTTCCGACCTATGTAGGCGCACATAAGCAAAGTACCCATAATGAAAAAAAAATTTTGTAAAATTTATTTTACGGAAATACACGTTTTAAGACCTCCTGATCATATTTTAATTATTGAAAAAAAAGAAATTTTTTTTTATTCCCATGTATGAGCGACCCGACGGTGCTTTTCTGGCATCACTGACTTCATTCAACTTCGGGAAAACGATAAAGAACGTGAATAGGAGCCATTTCAGAACATTTCTGCATCTTTAAAACGTTATAACTTTTGAACGGATTGGAGGATTTTAATGTTTCAAATTGCAAACAACGCGTATTTTGGTGCAGAATATGTAGAAATTCTAAGAATATTCGAAAAGTTGTTCCTTAACGTCGTAAAATGACAAATTGCTCAGAAAAATTGTCAATTTTCAAACGATCATAACTTTTACAATAGTAAAACTTATCTCATTGAAATTTTGTCTAGAAGTTGAGCTGATGAATACCTAGAAAAAAGTATTAGACAACATTTGATTTTGATTTAGATTAAAAATCAAATTTATATTGTTTTAAATTCGCAGCCATTAGCTCGGTGTTACCCATAATGAAGAAGTTTTTCTTCAAAGGTAACACCGATTACCAGGTCTCACCACGAGGAGGTTGCTGCGAGTGGAGACCCAAAGTGAGACCGATGGAACAAAGTTCGATCAATCTTCCTTTTTACAGACTTAGAACTAACGCATGACGCAAAAAAAAGATGCCAAGTAATTACTTTTCTAAAACAAAGGAGGAAGCTAAATTGTGGTAGACGCGACACGACGAAACGCGACACAATACTGCACAGTGCAGTAGGAACATGAGGTGCGACACGTACCGAATAGCGGGTCAAAAGGGGCAGCTCGTTACCTCTTAGCAAGTCCAATTGAAGGGGAGGAGAATCGACGCACCAGACACGGGTTCCCCATTTCTCCAACGCGTCCTGCTGGGAGCCCGTAGGACCCAACCCGGGACGTCTGACACAGGAGAGAGATCCTGAGTCGGGGCTACCGCAGACAGGAACAAGTCCCCTCTACGGCCGATGACTCTTTCCCTAGAATTGTCTCACCAGAGGACGGCAACCGACCCTTCGAACCATCTAAACGGCCGATCACTTGCTTTTTACATGAAAGCAGCGGTGACCGGAGCTAGAAACGGGGAAACGAGACTGGAAAATAAGCTATTAATTAATTCATTACTTGGCAATCTACGCAGTAAATAAAATAATATACAATGTAAATTGAAAATTAACGTCGTAGGTGGAATTGAGAATTAATGTGAATTAATAAAATATAGGAAACATCGGAAAAACAAGGAAAAGAAGGAAAAAGAAAAATTCGACGTTAATTTTTACATTCGCGCCGCGCCTTAAAATTAATCGGCTTACGTTTAAATCCCGGCCGATGAATCCGACGTCATCTATTGATCTCCTCCTCCTCCTAGAAATTGATCTGGTAAAAAACTCAAATAAAAATTAGTAGTTATGTGTACATGTAGACAAATAATAAAACCTAAATAACAAATTAATTTGAAATAAGGAATTGGAACAATCCAACGAAGTAAATTAACGAAACGAATCATTCGAAAAAAAAGAAACCAACGATGTGTACTTTGAATTATAGATTAATTTTGAAAATTAAAAAACCAACGAAGCGCAAGACGAATAACAAAATAAATCGTAAAAGAACAAACCAACGATGAAAGCGAGACGAAGATGGAATAGAATAAATTGAAAAATATCAACCCAACGATGGTAATTAATATAGATAAAACTAGATGAACGAAGAACCCAAATATGAAAATACCTATATACATAAAAATGCAGAAAAACACAATATTTTCATTAGTTATATTAATATTAATTGTATCTATACCAAAACCAAAGGGTGATCCTTCCTGGTCAGCATCGCAGAAGATATCTGAAACAGAAAACAAAAACGCGTGACAGTACCCCCGGCGGTTCCAGGAGTACTGAAAAAATTTGCCCAGCTGTGTCCACTTTTATGCAGTCAAGCCAAAGAATCAACGAGCCAATCAGCAGCCAGTCCGCTGGAGGCGACCATCGTCCGTGTTCCTTGAAACGTTATAAGAGCCCCCTGAGGCCCTCGCGCGGGAGTTATCTCCCAACCACCAAGCAAGACGGACCGCATCGAGATGAAGAATTTAATTGAAGATTTACATTCGATCAAAATCGAAGATGGCGGCCAAGAAGATGTTTCACGAGCAGCGGCCAAGGGACAAAACCGGTCTTTTTAAAGACCAAGAAAATCTCATTTGTGGGAACAACTTATGCAATGAACTGAACAACTTTTATATTTAACAACTCAGAGACACTTTACATCTCTGTTTTGTAACAACTTTTATATTTAACAATTCAGAGACACTTTACATCACTGTTTTGTAACAACTTTTATATTTAACAACTCAGAGACACTTTACATCTCTGTTTTGTAACAACTTTTATATTTAACAACTCAGAGACACTTTACATCTCTGTTTTGTAACAACTTTTATATTTAACAATTCAGAGACACTTTACATCTCTGTTTTGTAACAACTTTTATATTTAACAATTCAGAGACACTTTACATCACTGTTTTGTAACAACTTTTATATTTAACAATTCAGAGACACTTTACATCACTGTTTTGTAACAACTTTTATATTTAACAATTCAGAGACACTTTACATCTCTGTTATGGAACAAGTTATGCAATAAAACTGAACATGGTATATTTGCCTATATGTATAGGAAGGAAATTCGTCGTTAGTATTGTCGCCCGTCAATGCACTTAATTATGCAAGATCAGTATACTATCTAATTTTATTTTTTATTATACCGGTTTGTAATATCGTAAAGATCAATGCAAAAACATTATGCACAGCTCTTGTATTTCTTTGATTTATCCAAGTAGTCAAAGTATAATATTTAACAAACTTTTGATTCAAATAAAATAACGAATGACACAAGAGTAAGTACCTGTTACATGCAACCTATGTATAAATGCATAATAACTAATATTGATATACCCATAACGAACTTAGTTTGTGATATGAAACATTAAGAAAAGTGTAATTTAATAAATAGGTTTCAAAATGGGTATTCCAGGTTTAACAACTTTCATAAACAATCGTTCAGATCGTTATTTGGAATATTTCGAGCTACGTGATACGTATTTAGTTATTTAGCTGTCAAATATATAATTCATACAAGTGCAATTGTGTTTTTGGCGTTGATTACGATAAATACGCTCAACGAGTATCGGATTTTTTTGACGATTTGTTAAAGTGCAATGTAGTACCATTAGTTTTGATCGATGGCGGTTGCGAGGATAAGAAACTGCAAACAGTTATATCTAGAACTAAAGAAAAGATTCGTACAGCATCATCTTTTTCTCCGATCTGTCAACAGAAAATGAAATTTTTGTCCTTTACATATTTAGGAAGTTTTCAAAGATGTTACGAGAAAGAAGAATGTTCGTCATGTGCAATGCTTATTCGAAGCTGATAATGCTATAGCTACTGTAGCAAGGGTATTGAATTGTCCTGTATTGAGTTATGATTCAGATTTTTATGTGTTTGGGACATTGTACATACCATTTGATACATTGGACAATTACACGGTGAAAAGTTCATCTGGAAATGGTTACACGAAACGTTGTAAAATTTATAAAGTTGAACACTTATTAAATTCTTATAGAGGTCTAAGTCAATCTACACTGCCATTAGCTGCAATATTACTAGGCAATGATTATGTAAAACGTGGTACATTTAGAAACTTCTTTCGTTATTTAAAGTTACGACGAATAAGAAGAAAAAGGTATAGTAATCGACAGTATTGTATAGAAGCAACTTTACAATGGTTGAGCAGGTTTTACACCTTGGACAGAGCAGTCATTGGAATACTATGTAGATCACCTAAAACCGTAAGACAAAATATATTAAGCATAATAGAAATCAATATAAATGGCTATACAAATGCATCTGCAGAAATACTTGTTCCATTGGGGTTTTTACAGGAATATGCAGCTCGTGCCACAACACATTCCATAAACAGAATTTTTAAATTTGATGGGGATGTTAATAGTCTAATGTACATAGAAGAAACTGATAAAAATGGAGACTTTGAATCAGCCGAAGAAGAAGAAGAAGAGGAAGAAAAGGAAGTTGAAATATTAGACATGCTTAAAGGGGTCAGAATCTGCTACCAATAATGCACTAGCTAATATACCTAATTTGTTTGTAGATGAATTTCTTATGGGCAATTATCCTGCATATTTTATGGACTTGTTGGTTCGACGTTTATATATTTGTCCTGTACAAATAGAGGATTATTCCTATCCATTGAGCAATGTAATAAGTTTAAAAATTATTAGAGTTATATATGCATTTCTGTAATCAGGAACGAATAGAAGGAGAGGTTTCATGAAATACATGATGAGAGACTGTAATAAAAAGCTTAAATGTTACGAACTAGAAGGCACTGACACTAAATTTTCTTACCCATTACTGTCCCTATCTAATCTTAGAGAAGTACCATTAACGAGTCCAGGATTAAAAAATAATGTACAAACATGCGTCATTGATTTTTCATTACCATTTGAATTTAAATTCAAGTTATATAGACGCAAATATATAAGCAAAGCCCATATTGAATGAAAAATTGACACGTAAATACACGTTTCAAGACCCTCTGATCATGTTTGACATAAAACAATACTTTGGAAATAAATCGTTTGAATATAGTTTATCGAGTAAGACCTTCGAAATTATTTTCAAACGATTTATTTTCTAATTGTTCTACTATTTCAAATAATAATTATTTGATCCTATAGCAAAGAACGTTTACTTAATATCAATTCAATAAATTCAATTTGTATTTGTATATTTTTCGCCTATGTAGGCAAATATACCATGTTCAGTTTTATTACATAAGTTGTTCCAAAACAGAGATGTAAAAAGTCTCTGAGTTGTTAAATATAAAAGTTGTTCCAAAACAGAGATGTAAAAAGTCTCTGAGTTGTTAAATATAAAAGTTGTTCCAAAACAGAGATGTAAAAAGTCTCTGAGTTGTTAAATATAAAAGTTGTTCCAAAACAGAGATGTAAAAAGTCTCTGAGTTGTTAAATATAAAAGTTGTTCAGTTTAGTGGTTCCCACAAATGAGATTTTCTTGGTCTTTAAAAAGACCGGTTTGTCCTTTGGCCGCTGCTCGTGAACCATCATCTTTGGCCATCTTCGATTTTGATTGAATGGAAATCTTCAATTAAATTCTTCATCTCGATACGGTCCGTCATGCTTGGTGGTTGGGAGATAACTCGCCGATGAACGCCTCAGGGGGCTCTTATATCCTAGGAGCACGGACCCTCACGAGTGACCGAGCGACATCTGTGCAATTTCGATACACGAATTTTTCACAAATTGTCCCTCAACATAAAATTAAAGAATCATTATTTCGATAATGAAATATTTATAGGTATATATAAAGCATTTCTACATATTCTCCATCGAAACACGCGTTGTTTGCAACTTGAAACATTAAGATCCTTCAATCCGTTCAAAAGTTCTAAATTTTTAAACATACGCATGAAATTTCAAGCGAACATTTCTGCATCTATAAAATATTATAACTTCTGAACGGATTGAAGGATCTTAATGTTTCAAGTTGCAAACAACGCGTATTTTGATGGAGAATATGTAGAAATTGAATATTGAACATCTCTGTTATGGAACAACTTTTATATTTAACAATTCACAGACACTTTACATCTCTGTTTTGTAACCACTTTTATATTTAACAATTCACAGACACTTTACATCTCTGTTTTGTAACCACTTTTATATTTAACAACTCAGAGACACTTTAAATCTCTGTTTTGTAACCACTTTTATATTTAACAATTCACAGACACTTTACATCTTTGTTATGGCACAAGTTATACAATAAAACTGAACATGGTATATTTGCCTATATGTATAGGAAGGAAATTCGTCGTTAGTATTGTCGCCCGTCAATGCACTTAATTATGCAAGATCAGTATACTATCTAATTTTATTTAATCAAAACTAATGGTACTACATTGCACTTTATCAAATCGTCAAAAAAATCCAATACTCGTTGAGCGTATTTATCATAATCACCGCCAAAAACACACTTGCACTTGTACGAAATATATATTTGACAGCTAAATAACTAAATACATATCACGTAGCTCGAAATATTCCAAATAACAATCTGAACGATTGTTTATGAAAGTTGTTAAACCTGGGATACCCATTTTGAAACCTATTTATTAATTTACACTTTTCTTAATGTTTCATATCACAAACTAAGTTCGTTATGCGTATATCAATATTAGTTATTATGCATTTATACATAGGTTGCATGTAACAGGTGCTTACACAAATTTTGTGTCATTCGTTGTTTTATTTGAATCAAAAGTTTGTTAAATATTATACTTTGACTACTTGGATAAATCAAAGAAATACAAGAGCTGTGCATAATGTTTTTGCATTGATCTTTACGATATTACAAACCGTTATAATAAAAAATAAAATTAGATAGTATACTGATCTTGCATAATTAAGTGCATTGACGGGCGACAATACTAACGACGAATTTCCTTCCTATACATATAGGCAAATATACCATGTTCAGTTTTATTGCATAACTTGTGCCATAACAGAGATGTAAAGTGTCTGTGAATTGTTAAATATAAAAGTGGTTACAAAACAGAGATGTAAAGTGTCTCTGAGTTGTTAAATATAAAAGTGGTTACAAAACAGAGATGTAAAGTGTCTGTGAATTGTTAAATATAAAAGTGGTTACAAAACAGAGATGTAAAGTGTCTGTGAATTGTTAAATATAAAAGTTGTTCCATAACAGAGATGTTCAATATTCAATTTCTACATATTCTCCATCAAAATACGCGTTGTTTGCAACTTGAAACATTAAGATCCTTCAATCCGTTCAGAAGTTATAATATTTTAAAGATGCAGAAATGTTCGCTTGAAATTTCATGCGTATGTTTAAAAATTTAGAACTTTTGAACGGATTGAAGGATCTTAATGTTTCAAGTTGCAAACAACGCGTGTTTCGATGGAGAATATGTAGAAATGCTTTATATATACCTATAAATATTTCATTATCGAAATAATGATTCTTTAACTTTTTATGTTGGGGACAATTCGTGAATAATTCGTGTATCAAAATTGCACAGATGTCGCTCGGTCTCTCGTGAGGGTCCGTGCTCCTAGGATATAAGAGCCCCCTGAGGCGTTCATCGGCGAGTTATCTCCCAACCACCAAGCAAGACGGACCGTATCGAGATGAAGAATTTAATTGAAGATTTCCATTCAATCAAAATCGAAGATGGCCAAAGATGATGGTTCACGAGCAGCGGCCAAAGGACAAACCGGTCTTTTTAAAGACCAAGAAAATCTCATTTGTGGGAACCACTAAACTGAACAACTTTTATATTTAACAACTCAGAGACTTTTTACATCTCTGTTTTGGAACAACTTTTATATTTAACAACTCAGAGACTTTTTACATCTCTGTTTTGGAACAACTTATGTAATAAAACTGAACATGGTATATTTTTGCCTATATAGGCGAAAAATATACAAATACAAATTGAATTTATTGAATTGATATTAAGTAAACGTTCTTTGCTATAAGATCAAAAAATTATTATTTGAAATAGTAGAACAATTAGAAAATAAATCGTTTGAAAATAATTTCGAAAGTCTTACTTGATAAACTATATTCAAACGATTTATTTCCAAAGTATTGTTTTATGTCAAACATGATCAGGGGGTCTTGAAACGTGTATTTACGTGTCAATTTTTCATTCAATATGGGCTTTGCTTATATATTTGTGTCTATATAACTTGAATTTAAATTCAAATGGTAATGAAAAATCAATGACGCATGTTTGTACATTATTTTTTAATCCTGGACTCGTTAATGGTACTTCTCTAAGATTAGATAGGGACAGTAATGGGGAAGAAAATTTAGTGTCAGTGCCTTCTGGTTCGTAACATTTAAGCTTTTTATTACAGTCTCTCATCATGTATTTCATAAAACCTCTCCTTCTATTCGTTCCTGATTGCAGAAATGCATATATAACTCTAATAATTTTTAAACTTATTACATTGCACAATGGATAGGAATAATCCTCTATTTGTACAGGACAAATATATAAACGTCGAACCAACAAGTCCATAAAATATGCAGGATAATTGCCCATAAGAAATTCATCTACAAACAAATTAGGTATATTAGCTAGTGCATTATTGGTAGCAGATTCTGACCCCTTTAAGCATGTCTAATATTTCAACTTCCTTTTCTTCCTCTTCTTCTTCTTCTTCGGCTGATTCAAAGTCTCCATTTTTATCAGTTTCTTCTATGTACATTAGACTATTAACATCCCCATCAAATTTAAAAATTCTGTTTATGGAATGTGTTGTGGCACGAGCTGCATATTCCTGTGAAAACCCCAATGGAAGTAACCAAGTATTTCTGTAGATGCATTTGTATAGCCATTTATATTAATTTCTATTATGCTTAATATTTATTGTCTTATGGTTTTAGGTGATCTACATAGTATTCCAATGACTGCTTTGTCCAAGATGTAAAATCCGCTCAACCATTGTAAAGTTGCTTCTATACAATACTGTCGATTACTATACCTTTTTCTTGTTATTCGTCGTAACTTTAAATAACGAAAGAGGTTTCTAAATGTACCACGTTTTACATAATCATTGCCTAGTAATATTGCAGCTAATGGCAGTGTAGATTGACTTAAACCTCTATAAGAATTTAATAAGTGTTCAACTTTATAAATTTTACAACGTTTCGTGTAACCATTTCCAGTTGAACTTTTCACCGTGTAATTGTCCAATGTATCAAATGGTATGTGCAATGTCCCAAACACATAAAAATCTGAATCATAACTCAATAGAGGACAATTCAATATCCTTGCTACAGTAGCTATAGCATTATCAGCTTCGAATAACTTTAACAAATCGTCAAAAAAATCCGATATTCGTTGAGCGTATTTATCGTAATCACCGCCAAAAACACAATTGCACTTGTACGAATTATATATTTGACAGCTAAATAACTAAATACGTATCACGTAGCTCGAAATATTCCAAATAACGATCTGAACGATTGTTTATGAAAGTTGTTAAACCTGGGATACCCATTTTGAAACCTATTTATTAATTTACACTTTTCTTAATGTTTCATATCACAAACTAAGTTCGTTATGCGTATATCAATATTAGTTATTATGCATTTATACATAGGTTGCATGTAAGAGGTACTCAAATTTTGTGTCATTCGTTATTTTATTTGAATCAAAAGTTTGTTAAATATTATACTTTGACTACCTCGATAAATCAAAGAAATACAAGAGCTGTGCATAATGTTTTTGCATTGATCTTTACGATATTACAAACCGGTATAATAAAAAATAAAATTAGATAGTATACTGATCTTGCATAATTAAGTGCATTGACGGGCGACAATACTAACGACGAATTTCCTTCCTATACATATAGGCAAATATACCATGTTCAGTTTTATTGCATAACTTGTTCCATAACAGAGATGTAAAGTGTCTCTGAGTTGTTAAATATAAAAGTTGTTACAAAACAGAGATGTAAAGTGTCTCTGAATTGTTAAATATAAAAGTTGTTACAAAACAGAGATGTAAAGTGTCTCTGAGTTGTTAAATATAAAAGTTGTTACAAAACAGAGATGTAAAGTGTCTCTGAGTTGTTAAATATAAAAGTTGTTACAAAACAGAGATGTAAAGTGTCTCTGAGTTGTTAAATATAAAAGTTGTTACAAAACAGAGATGTAAAGTGTCTCTGAATTGTTAAATATAAAACTTGTTACAAAACAGAGATGTAAAGTGTCTCTGAGTTGTTAAATATAAAAGTTGTTCAGTTTTGGTGTTCAGTTTTGGTGTTCAGTTTTGGTGTTGTTCCCAAATATGAGATTTTCTTGGTCTTTAAAAAGACCGGTTTGTCCCTTGGCCGCTGCTCGTGAACCATCTTCTTGGCCGCCATCTTCGATTTTGATTGAATGGAAATCTTCAATTAAATTCTTCATCTCGATACGGTCCGTCTTGCTTGGTGGTTGAGGGATATCTGCCGCGGGCCCGCCAGGGGGCACGGTTTTTATAGAACTTCTTGAAGCCGGAAGACTGCTGACTGGCTGCTGATTGGCTCGTTGATTCTTTGGCTTGACTGCATAAAAGCGGGCACAACTGACCGACTCTTTTCAGTACTCCTGGAACCGCCGGGGGTACTGTTACCCGTTTTTCTTTCTGTTTCAGATTCTCTGATTCTGCGATGCTGACTGGTGTCGCCGATTGGTGTCGCCGATTGGTATATACATACATATATTTATATTCATATAATTAATACCATTATTGTGTTTTCTATTTATATATAGGGATGTAATATTTCGTTGTTGTGTTCCTCTCTCCAATAATTCATTCAATTGTTTTTTCTTTCAGCTTTTATCTACATATATTACATCGTTGGGTAGATATTTTTCCAATTATTCTGTTCTTTATTTTCGACATCGATGGGTTGTTATTTTTCGAATTATTTTGTTCTTCATTCTTTACTTCGTTGGGTTGTGATTTTTCAAATTATTTTGTTCCTCATTGTCTTTCATCGTGGGGTTGTTATTTTTTTAATTATCCTGTTCTTGGTTGTATATTTGTATTTGTCCCTATATTTATATTTGTCCCTATATTTGTTCACATAATTAATTCTAATTTGTGTCTATAACTACTAATTTTTATTTTAGTTTTTATTCAGATCAATTTTTAGATAGAGGACGACGGATGCAAGATTCATGCGTATTACCGTTAAATTTAAGGCGCGGCGCGGCGCGGCGCGAATGGTAAAATTAACGTCGAATATTTCTTTTTTTCCTTTCCTATGTTTCTCAATTCCCATTTTAATCTCATTAATTCCACCTACGACGTTAATTTTCTGTTTATATTGTATATTAGTTTATTTAATGCGTAGATTGCCAAGTAATTAATTAATTAACAGCTTCTTTTCCAGTCTCGTTCCCCCGTTTCCAGCTCCGGTCACCGCTGCTTTAATGTAGAAAGCAAGTGATCGGCCGTTTAGATGGTTCGAAGGGTCGGTTGCCGTCCTCTGGTGAGACAATTCTAGGGAAAGAGTCATCGGCCGTAGAGGGGACCTGTTCCTGTCTGCGGTAGCCCCGACTCAGGATCTCTCTCCTGTGTCAGACGTCCCGGGTTGGGTCCTACGGGCTCCCAGCAGGACGCGTTGGAGAAATGGGGAACCCGTGTCTGGTGCGTCGATTCTCCTCCCCTTCAATTGGACTTGCTAAGAGGTAACGAGCTGCCCCTTTTGACCCGCTATTCGGTACGTGTCGCACCTCATGTTCCTACTGCACTGTGCAGTATTGTGTCGCGTTTCGTCGTGTCGCGTCTACCACAATTTAGCTTCCTCCTTTGTTTTAGAAAAGTAATTACTTGGCATCTTTTTTTTTGCGTCATGCGTTAGTTCTAAGTCTGTAAAAAGGAAGATTGATCGAACTTTGTTCCATCGGTCTCACTTTGGGTCTCCACTCGCAGCAACCTCCTCGTGGTGAGACCTGGTAATCGGTGTTACCTTTGAAGAAAAACTTCTTCATTATGGGTATCACCGAGCTAATGGCTGCGAATTTAAAACAATATAAATTTGATTTTTAATCGAAGTCAAAATAAAATGTTGTCTAATACTTTTTTCTAGGTATTCATCAGCTCAACTTCTAGAAAAAATTTCAATGAGATAAGTTTTACTTTATTTATTTTCAAAAATCGTATTAATAATATACATATGTGTGCTCATACATGGGAATAAAAAAAAATTTCTTTTTTTTCAATAATTAAAATATGATCAGGAGGTCTTAAAACGTGTATTTCCGTAAAATAAATTTTACAAAATTTTTTTTTCATTATGGGTACTTTGCTTATGTGCGCCTACATAGGTCGGAAAGTAAAAATGCCTGGGCAGTCGAGAATCCAAATCGTATGCCGTTGACGGAAGGTCGGATTTCAGTTGTGTGGGAGCGAGAAGACAAATGTGAGCCTATTCTCTCTCGACTTCCACGAAGCGGTCCGAAATTACTTCGGGCAGCTTCGGAGAATCGAGAAAGAGCGCATGCGTCAGTTTGCCTTTGTCGTGTCTTTCCGAAACTCCACGAGCTCACGTACGCGTATCTGGCATGTGTGAGTATGCACCCGACGGTGCTTTTCTGGCTTCACTGACCTGACATCACATGTGGTTCGTGTGACAGGATATGTCGGCATTCCCCACCACTCCGTTAAACGCTAAGGAAGTTCGTCGTTACTAGTGTCACCGTCGATGCACTCAATTATGCCAAATCTTGCCTCACTGCAGTAAATAGTAAAATTCTGATAGTTGTCAAACATCGCCTTACATTTGACCGTGATGAGATACAATGAAGCCGATTAGCATTTGCAGAAACTAAGCTGTACGAAATAAATTTAACCTACGAAGTTATGACATAATCGATGATATTTAAGCAAATCAACTATTGTATTAAACGCATGTAAGTACCTGAATGTATGTTCTATAAAATTTACATTATCTAACGCCGATGGAATTAATTGAAATCGCGATATCGAGGAGAAATGTGTATTACAAAAGTTCTGTTTATCTTTTTGTGGGATTATTTTAGAGCGTGAAGCAAAAATGGTAGCTGGCCCCACAGAGCATGGCATACAAGCCGATGTAATATTTGTTATCGAAGGAACAGCTGTTAATGGAGCTTATCTCAATGATTTGAGAACCAATTATCTCCTTCCAACACTTGAGTAAATTATAAATAGTTAAATTATAAATGTGTACAATTACATATTAATATAAGATTATTGTATTTTATAGGTACTTCAATCAAGGTCCTATCGAAGATAGGGAATATGTTTCTGAGGTATAATAACAAATGATAGCATCTTCTATGATTAAAATTTTAATGTTTCTAATCAAATTGAACCTTGTTTTAATAGAATAGCGCAACATTATACGGTATAGTGGTATACCATGCAGCCGATTGCTTACCAGCTCCATGTACAGAAACTTTTGGACCGTATGCTAATCCACACAAGTTACTGTTGGTTTTAGATAAATTAGAGTAAGTGAAATCATCGATATATCCTTTCTCAATTTTCTTAATAAGAGTATTTAAATTTGCAAATATCTTTGCATGTAAAAAGAATGGTCGGCGGAAAGGGAGAATCTTATGCAAACATTGGAGAGGGGCTTGCCACTGGATTACAGTGCTTTGAAGATTTGCAATTACGCCGTGAACCAAACACTGCATCCCAGAAACATTGTATCTTGATTTGTAATTCCCCTCCATATCAAACAGTCATACAAGAATCGTATAAATTTGCTGGCCACACCGTAGAGCAATTGGCTGCGCTTTATCAAGAGGTATATTAAAGTAACCTATTTGTATACTAAAAGTAAATTAGATTCACATAATGAGCATCGTCTTTTCCAGAGGAACATCAATCTTTCTATATTATCTCCTAGGAAAATACCCGCATTGTTCAAATTATTCGAAAAGGCTGGAGGAGATCTGCAATCGTCTCAGACCAAAAATTATGCCAAAGATCCTCGACATTTGGTACTGTTACGCAATTACAATTTAAAAGAAAGGCCTGTTAGTCCTCCGATCGGTGGACCCGTTCATACTACTCCGGGTACTGCTGCTCAAATCCCATTGAGTCCGTTGCAAAGCAACGATAGCCCAAATACGAATCAAGTTCAACAAAACATCGCTCAACCAACCCAGTCACAAGGCCCTCCGTTCAGAAACCAAACACCACAAAATATTACTTCAGTTCACCAAACGGTTACGCCAATAGCAGCTGCTATGAATGCTGGGCGACCACCGTACAATCCTCAACTATCTGCTCCGCCAACGTATCACACAACAGCTGTAGGTGTGAGAGCGGGTCATACCAGATGGAGGCCATTCGTAACACCAGGAACTACTGGTCCAGCAAATGCACAAAGCAGTGCGTTAATAGCACAATTAAATCAACCTCCTTCGTTGGGACTTAACGTAACCCAGTTTGGACAAAGAATGGATAGTAGTAAGTTGTTTTCTAGACCTTCCTACAATTATTATCGTTATATATTAATCATTAGTTACATTTTCAGTAGCCAATACCAATGTTATGGCTGCCAATGCGCAACAGCAGCAACAACAGCAGCAGCAGCAGCAGCAGCAACTGACGCAGCAACAACAAGTGAGATTCACGATGTTGCAGCAGCAGCAGCAGCAGCAACAACAACAGCAACAACAACAAAATGTTCAACAGCAAGGCTCGATGCCTATGTCTGCGCAACAAACTCATGGACAAGGTGGACAACAACTTACAGTATCGTGTGTTAGTCAATCAATACCCACCCAAGTACCGCAAACGGTTACAGCTTCCCAGACACAGTCGTCTGTATCATCAGGTACTCAGCAACAACAGGTGCCACACTCTCAAGCACAGGTAACACATTTAAAAAACATATTTAAGTCCTTCCATCAAGAGGAATTCCAGTTTAGACTGCCTTTTGTATAAATATTGAAGGGCAACGTAAGTGCTGGTTCCGTAACCGGTCCACAAATAGCTGTACCGCACGAAAGACACACTATATGGCAGGGTATCATTGAATGGGTTGAGAAAGCAAAGATTCCAGCGGATGCTCAAAAGCAGACCAGACATCTACCCTGTCAAGTTTCTGCAAACTCCAAAGACGGAGATCCAGAATTGTAAGTTCCCGTTTCAAGAGCAAATGATTGTAAATTTGTTGGTCTTTTAATAATACTATAATTTAATTAATGCGTTTCAGGAAAGCTGACACCTGGCCACAGAAGTTGCTTATGCAATTAATGCCTAAACAACTGATAGGCAATATTGGCGGATCATATTTAAAAAATTCCAAGTCTGTTCTTTTTCACCCGACGCCGTGCGAGGCATTGGAGTCCTTGACAAAAGTTATGAGTTCTGGATTCGTTAGTATGCGATGTTATATACGTTTACAGGAATGTTCTTGGCAAGTAATTGATATGGGAATAATTGTTTAGGCGGGGTGCGTTCATTTTACCCTTTTACCGCCATCGTCAACGTGCGACATAAAAGTACTTATCCTTTTGTATACCGCTGAGAAAAGAACGTATTTAGGATTCATTCCGAACGACCAGACAGGTTTCGTAGACCGTCTTCGAAAAGTGATACAACATCAAAAGACATCACATGCTTCTATGAGACAGGGGCAAGTGAGTACAAATTTACATTTTAAGTTGTCACAGGTATGCACAAATATGACATTCAAGGATGTGTTACGAGGTTACCGGAGTTTCGAAGGTGTAACAATCTAGTATTTAATTATCTTAGGCCGGAGGTGGGCAAGGAAATGCAATAACTGGACCCATGGCCACTACGGGTACGTCTCAAGGCGGTATTCTTTTGTCTCAGACGAACACTATAGCAATGGGTGGTGGACAAATAACGCAAAATGTTGTTACCGCGAATAATCCACAACAAACGTTAACTTCATCCGGCGGTCCTCAGAATCAAATAAATATGCAGGTAAAACCCATCGTGCAATAAAACAGAGGGAAATGGATTTGATCAATTTGAATGATAAAAAGTGTTCTTCGAACAGAGCGGTGCAATTACTGGCCCCCAAGTTGCTGCAGCTGCTGGCACAATGATAGGGCAACAAAGACCACCGTTCGATGATATAGAAATCGCTAGGCATCAAAATTTATTAAAAATCCAACAATTACGGCAAACGTTAGAAGCTGCGCAGCAACAAGAAGCGCAATACAAATCGCAGCTGGAAGTGAATGTAAGAAAATTAATGTAACGAAAATATGAGGAGCAAAGGAAACTAAAATGTTAATTCACATGATTCGTTGTATAGATTCAACAAAATTTAGAGGTTGCACAACAACAGGAAATGCAGTACAAACAACAGTTAGAGGTGAAATGTTTTTAAGAATCATCGTGAATTGTAATTTATTTTATATGGATTTTTAACATTTTATTGTATAGGCTCAACAAGCACAAAGAGCTCTCAATCCTGCGGGTATGGCGAATCAACAAGCAAATCCGCCAAGATTGATGCGACCTGTTTCGAATATGGGTCTCAGGCATTTGTTGCAACAAGTACGGAATCGTGTACTTATGAATTCACGAAGAAATACGCCAGCAAGTATGTAGTTTAATTAAAAGATTAAACGAATTCTCTGTTTCAGTCGCAACCTCCATATAGGCATCAAGTACTTGGAATACAGCAACAAATAGTAGGTGCCAGGGGGCAGATGACGACAAGACCTATGGCTCCTGGTAACCCACAGAATCAGCAATTCGAAGATGTCTCTAATTATGACTTTCTTGGATAGACAATTTAAATAAGAAATATTTTTTTAAGCATAGTCGCTATATTGTGAATATTATAAATTATTTATCGGTTCGTGCGAGTTGATAATACCATTAATACCTTTTACGTACAATATGGATTACAGGATATACATGCGTGCCGAAATATATAGATTAAGGCTGTTTGTTAAGTATATACGTTTCTACAAAACAAAAAAAGCTATAATTCTATGAACAGAATTAGAATAAATAAAGATTGACACAAGTATGCATTTTAACTGGTTTATATTCTTATGTTTGCAAACTGTTTGAACGTTAGTTTATTCAGTAAGAAATATTAAAGAATTTTAACTATTTCAGTGCGTGTCTTACAGTAATATAGTTTACTTGTTTTAATCTGAAGGAAAATATTTTTGTGATAATTATTTTAATTGCAGGCAGAAAAACACGTGGTAAGAAACGTTAAGGTTATGTGTTGCTTCATAAATAAACTTCATTATAACGCAGAAACCTGTTGCACGAAGAACCTATAAAAGCTCAGATATTGCATATTTAGTACCGTAAATGAAAGGCTAATTGGTAATAAATCATTTTATTTTCAACTGTTAGCGAAAAAAAGTAGCTTGGTATATTTAAATTCATTTTGAATATGTATATGCGAACGTAGTATTACACATACATCCTAAAAAAAGTATATTCAATTTCTTATATTAATTAATCATTGATATTTCGTTGCAAATTTTCTCGTCAAACTTTTAAAAGTAATGTAATTCTGCCATGATTATTTTATGTACGAGATCGTGTATAGATACATGTATACATATTTTAGGGTATACATGTGTGTATTTTGGCGGTAAAATTTTCTAACAGAATTTATTCAATTATGATATTAAACTTATTAAAATTAAATGATATCTGATGAGTCTATTGCAGAATAACGTATTAGAACTAAGTTTTGAAGCTTTTCATAAGGACAATTTAATTAATAAACAATCTCTACTTTATCGAATTTGGCGGGAAAGCATATCGTTATTTACAGTTTTACTTATTATTTTGTTTATTCCAAAAATATGTTTTTCACAGAATAGACACAGTAATAATAGATTTGTTAATTACGACGTAAATGCAGTAAAATTTTCGTAAAAAATATTTCAGTTTGGACATACGTAAATAAAATTTCGATGTTTCTTTGATGACGTTAACGCACAGTTATTACACAAACGAAACATTAGAATATTTTAAATGTATAGGCATATGCGAAAACATATATAATGTGAAAGATAAGAACATTATTGAGCAAGATGACCTTGTGACCTCTGTTCAAACTGTTTGGTTTTGTAATTATGACATGGGTATTCTATTTTGCAATTACTGTGTCGATAAACTAAGATAACAGACTAACTCTTGTTGATAGTCTACAAGGGGGTCCGAGTTAATGTAAACTATCATTATCAATTTAGTACTATGGCCATTTGCATCTTTACGCTTTAGTGTTTTTATTTTGCATTTCGCTTGTTTAATTTTCCTGCGAATAATATTATTTTGTGATCTTTGATCTTCAGATCATGGGTATTATAAAATTTTATAAAGTACCTGGATTGAAATCAGGTCAACTTAAAACCAAGTTCAACAACATCAGTCGAGTATCAAATTCAATAACTGGACTAGAAAGTGAACTGTGTTATTATATCGAGATCAAGGAACCTTTAAACAAAGAAGAATTAAAGCTGTTAAAATGGATCTTAAATTCTCCATTAGAGCAAAACAGTTTGAAGACTTGCAGCACGTTCGACGAGAAGTTAAACGATAACTTGATTGTTGAAATTGGTCCGAGGTAAAGCAGCAAAATAAACGAGAGAAAATTACTTATATTACAATATTGTTGAAGTTATAAGAGTTAAATTTCTTCTGTTATTGCAGGTTGAATTTCTCCACACCATTCTCCAGCAATGCTGTATCAATTTGTGAATCTGTACATGTACACAAAGTAACAAGAATAGAAGCAGCAATTAGATATTGTATTAAGCATAATGGACCGATTGAAAAAGAAGTTGAGAATGCAGTATGTAACAAAAGATTTGTAAAGCATTTTAGGAACAAGTAGTGTACATTATTTATTTTTTTTTTACAGATAGTAGGAGCATTGCATGATAAAATGACCGAGTGCAGATACTCGGTACCAATAGAGTCATTTGATCATGGCTTCAGACCTGAAAAATGGTTTGAAGTGGATGTGTTGAAAGGTGGACGAAAATCATTAGAAGAAGTGAATGTAAAATTAGGTATATCTTTAAAATAGAACAAGATAGATGGTTTTTTTTTGAGATAAAATTATATATTTTTTATCGTTTGCATAGGTTTGGCATTTGACGATTGGGACTTGAACTTTTACACAGACTTGTTTCTCAATAAATTGAAACGCAATCCGACCAGCGTCGAGTGCTTTGATTTGGCACAGTCCAACAGCGAACATAGTCGTCATTGGTTTTTCAAAGGTTGCATGATCGTCGATGGCGAGGAGATGGAAAAATCGTTGCTCGACATGATCATAGAAACGCAGGAGTATTCCAATCCAAACAATACGATTAAATTTAGCGATAATAGCAGCGCGATTAAGGGATTTCAAGTAGATGCACTTCGACCAAACGAAACGAATAAATGTAGTCCTTTCCGCTTAAAGAACGTAGATCAAGATCTTATATTTACCGCGGAGACTCACAATTTTCCAACAGGTGTTGCTCCATTTAGGTAAACAGAATTTAAGAATTTATTAAAGAAAGTTTTTAAGTCATCTCTGATATATTATGAACATTGCAAATTACAGTGGAGCTACGACTGGAACCGGGGGAAGATTAAGAGATGTTCAAGGCATAGGTAGAGGAGGATATTACATTGCTGGAACTGCTGGCTATTCTGTTGGTAATCTGCACATTCCAGGTCCGTTGTAATTTCTTACAGCTCACACAAATTCAATACAGTTAGCTATATTCATCAAATTATTATTTCCTTAGGATATGATTTGCCATGGGAGGAGAAGAACGTATCGTATCCTACTAATATGGCCAGTCCATTGGAAATCATAATCGAAGCTAGCAATGGCGCGTCCGATTATGGTAATAAATTTGGGGAACCAGTAGTATCTGGTTTTGCTCGTTCTTTTGGTATGACGGATAATGCAAATGTGCGACGCGAATGGATCAAGCCTATAATGTTTAGCGGAGGACTGGGCACAATGGATGCTGATATGTCGCACAAAGTTACGCCACAAAAAGGTCAGAAAAAAGAATGTCTACAGACCAACGATTATCGAAGAGATTGAAAAGTATGTTGTATAAAAAATAATTGTTGTATCAGGTATGGACGTCATCAAAATTGGTGGTCCAGTCTATAGAATTGGCGTGGGAGGTGGCGCGGCAAGTTCTATCGAGGTAGACATAAATTATTAATGTTAATATAATTGTCCAATGGGGGGCTATTTTTAACGATCAATTAAAAACAAAGTATCGTTAGGTGCAAGGCGATAATAAATCGGAATTAGATTTTGGAGCAGTGCAACGAGGCGATCCTGAAATGGAACAGAAACTGAACCGAGTAGTTCGTGCCTGCACTGAAATGGGACAAAAGAATCCAATACTCAGTATACATGACCAAGGAGCTGGAGGCAACGGTGAGAATTATTTTTACTTGATCATAACTGTATACGATAGTAGGTGGGTCCATAACTGTAGGAGCAAAAAGTACTTTTCTTGATAAAAAGATAATATTAAAATAACATTAGGTAACGTTATAAAAGAGCTGGTGGAACCTGCCGGTGCAGTTATCTTCACAAAGAAATTCGAGTTAGGCGATCCAAGCATCAGCACCTTGGAATTATGGGGTGCCGAGTATCAAGAAAATGACGCGATTTTGTGTAAACCGGAGGACAGGAACTTGCTGAAGGAAATAGCAGCTCGAGAAAAATGTCCGATTAATTTTGTGGGGACCGTTACGGGAAACGGAAACATCATTTTATCGGAAGAGAACGATTGCGATGCACTGAAGTATTTAAATAAGGATCGTAAAGATAGTGTGAGACATCCGGTTGATTTAGACTTAGACTTAGTACTTGGCAAAATGCCTCGTAAGGTGAGTACACGTGATACTTTTAAAAAATAAATTTATAATAACACGTACGTTTTAATGTTTTTGCAGACCTTTGATCTTCAGAGGCAAGTGACACTGTTACCTCTTTTTTTACTGCCAGAAAATTTGACTGTATACTCTGCTTTGGAAAGGGTTCTACGTTTGCCTTCGGTAGGGAGCAAACGATACTTGACTAACAAGGTAGATCGTTGTGTTACAGGATTGATCGCGCAGCAACAGTGCGTTGGTCCTTTGCACACACCTCTAGCTGATGTTGCCGTAGTTGCAGTTTCTCATTTCACTACGGTAAAGAAATGTACAGAGTATAACTTAACTTGTAAGGCCCACTTTAGCGATCCTTGTTTCCGAGTTATAGCCATCTCTGTACTCTGATCATTCTTAACCACAATGTAGTATATCACAGTTTTTTATATAGGTATATTTTATCATGTAGGCTGGTATAGCAACTTCTATTGGGGAACAACCGATAAAAGGCCTTGTGAATCCAGCAGCTGGTGCTCGTATGACCGTGGCAGAAGCTTTGAGTAACTTGGTCTTTGCACATATTTCGCACATACAGGTATTGATATTGAAATCAATTATTAATTCGGAAGAATGGATAGTTCATTTTTATGGAGTTAACACCGTATGGTCTTAGGATGTTAAATGTAGTGGAAATTGGATGTGGGCTGCTAAATTGCCAGGAGAAGGTGCTGCATTGTACGATGCGTGTTCCGCTATGTGTTCGTTCATGGGAGAACTTGGAATTGCAATCGACGGTGGAAAGGACTCTCTTAGCATGGCTGCTCGAATCGGTAAAGATGTTGTTAAGGCGCCTGGAACACTGGTGGTTTCTTGCTACGCTCCTTGTCCTGATATTCGACAAGTAAGTTAAATATTCTTAATTATCAGATGGAAGGTAGGATGGTTAAGTACTTGAGCTATATTTTTTTGTTCAACCGTGTGATGGTTACTGCTTTATTCTAGGTGATAACACCTGATTTAAAAGCACCTGCGATGGGGAAAAATGGTTGTATATTGTTCGTTGATTTATCAAATGGACAGAGTCGAATCGGTGGCACAGCCTTGGCTCAAGTTTATAAATCTCTTGGCAATGACGTTCCGGATATGCAATGCGCCGAACTATTGAAAAATGCATTTAACGCCACGCAACGTTTAATTGCAGGTGATATCGAGTAACTCAATTCTCTGGAATTATTTCTATACATTTTAGAGAAATATTTAATTCGTTTTTTAGAGGGAAAAGTATTAGCTGGCCATGATATCAGCGATGGTGGACTTATCACTTGTCTCCTTGAAATGTGTTTCGCTGGTATTTCTGGAATCACTGTTAACATTTCTCACAAACTGGGATCGCCCATCGAAGTCTTATTTGCCGAAGAAGTAGGGTGGATATTAGAAATTGATGAGAAAGATCACAGTTACGCGTTGGATGTGTTCAAACAATTTAACACTCCTGTATACTCGATTGGTCGATCAGGAAATTTTGGAGTATCATCAAAAGTATATATTTCGTAATTTATTTAAAATTACGACCACGGACATTCATCATTTATCTCGTATTCGTTTTAGATAAGTATCAAAGTGCAAGAAGAGACGGTCCTGGATTCAACAGTTTTATCCTTAATGTCTATATGGGAAGAAACTAGCTATCAGTTGGAACGTCGACAAACAAATGTTGATTGCGCATTGGAAGAGTTCAACGGATTAAAAGACAGAACCACGCCGACTTACAAGTTAACATTTGATCTTGATATCAGACCGATCAAGATCCCAAGAAATATGTGTAGTTCGTAATGTTTTAATTTAACGTGAATCTTGTGAATACGTTACAATGAATTTTACATTTTGTATTACTTATATAGCAAACATCGTGGTTGCCGTGATAAGAGAGGAGGGTATAAATGGCGACAGAGATATGGTAGCACCATTAATGCAAGCAGGTTTCGAAGTTTGGGATGTGACGATGCAAGATCTCTTAGACAATAAAGTTACGTTTGATAAATTTAGGGGTGTGATATTTCCTGGTGGTTTCAGTTACGCGGGTGAGTTACTCGACAAACAGTTTAATTTCTTGCTAAGACGTAAAGACATACAAATAAATCTGTAATTTCAGACGTTCTCGGCTCTGCTAAAGGATGGGCTGCAAGTCTTCTGTTCCATTCTTCTCTGCAAAGCCAATTAAAAGTGTTTCTTGCTCGTGAAGACACATTCAGCTTAGGAGTATGCAACGGGTGTCAACTAATGTCTTTACTAGGATGGATTGGAAACGAGACGAGTGCATAGAACATATTAAAAATAAAAAAGACTATGTTTATAACATTTCTAACTATTTTTCTTACGTTGTAGGTGATGTTACTGAACCGGACATTTTCTTAGATCATAATGTATCAGAGAGATTCGAGTGTCGATGGAGCACCGTTAGAATTGATAAATCACCGTCGATTATGTTAAGCGGAATGGAAAACAGCGTTTTAGGTGTATGGATCGCTCACGGCGAAGGAAGATTCACTTTCCGTACCAGCGATACTTTAAAGAAACTGAAAGAAAATCATTGCCTGGCCATAAAGTATACAGATGATCACGGTAATCCGACTGAACGATATCCTCTTAACCCTAATGGAAGTACCGGTAAGAGTTCATTGCACGTGTCTTTTGCGTTGGAAATACTTGCACGCAATGTTTATGATTTATCATAGGTGGCATTGCTGGAATTTGTTCAACGAATGGTCGACACTTGGCGATGATGCCACATCCTGAGCGATGCACGCAGATGTGGCAATGGCCTTGGAGACCAGCAGATTGGGATAAGTACACTCTTTCACCGTGGCAACGCATTTTCGATAACGCGTACGCCTGGTGCGTGTCTAAAAATTAATTCCGATACATTCCTAATGTTTTCTACGTGGTATATAGGTTTGCGACGTTTAACAAGACGTAATCGTATAGAATATAAAATTCTTTATTTCCTACTTTCTTAACAAAGTATGGTAACATCGTGTTGTCAAGTATTATAAAAAAAAATGGTAAACTACAGTTAAAAATTTGTTAATGTTTAATTCGTGTTACTTGAACGAATTTTGTCTGACTTTGAAGAGCTGATTCGACGGGGTGAATTGCGGAAATTGATTCGTGTCGTAAATATCTTCTAAATACAAATCACATCGCAGTATCACGACTCCGGATGGGTTCACTTTAACTTTTATTTTCGTTTGCGCTGTTAAGACGCCGTAGTTTACATCTTCGTATAGATCCTAGAAATACGCATAATTAGAAAATTGTTCACCCTAATGGAAAACAAAAAAAAAAAAAGAAGAATGAATCTGTAAATACATACCTCTACACTGTATCCTCCAGGATACTGCAATCCAAGTTCTTTCAATGTAACAGACACATCGGAAGGTGTACCGTCCGTTCTCCTATTTATGAACGCTATGGCGTAAGAGTAGTAATTCTGATAGACGGGAGTTATCGGCCTCGCCCAGATTTCAATGCCTTTATGCTGAAAGAGCAAAACACGATTCTTACTGTCCTGCTACAAAATCTGTGCCGATTTTTTTGTGGCCAAAGTTTAGCACGAACATTAATATCGTAAACGTGAAATCTACTAACTTTGTAAATGCGTCGACCCTGTATGCCTAACGGATCTTGATCCACAGCGATAATTTTCCTATTTTGTAAAATAGCTTTGTATTCGGGTCTAATTGTTCGTAGATCGACGGACATCAATAGAGGTGCAGCTAATATAGCCCACAATGCCATTTGTGTTTTGCTCTGTTCATAACTGAGCCCGAAATTGCCGACGATCAACATATCGGGATCGTTCCAATGTCCGGGTCCAGCAATCGGAACAATCACGTCTTGATTGTTACCATAATAATCTATGATTGTTTCTAAGCTATTCAAGGAATCTTGTATGTCATCAAAGTTTCTCCAAAGATTACAGTTATCACTTATCGAAGTATAGTTTGGCTGAAATTTTATATAATTTAAAGTATTTCATAACTTAGGATTTGTTGAAAAAATCGGCCATTTAAAGTGGTACGAACCTGTATACCAGCATAAATTTGATAGACTGGCCAACTACAAGAATAGACCATAGGTCGACCTGTTTGGTTCAAGTAGAATCCAAATTCAGGATATCCTGAAGTATTTAAAAAAAATTATAAGCCTAAATTTATATGGATGACATTTACTTCAACCTAAATAGATCATTATTATACCTTTATCCATCTCGGATGGCTGCGAGTAACATCCATCTATTTTTACATAATCTACATCCCAAGATGCAAAAGTAAGTGCATCGGTTTCTAAGTAACCCAATATTCCAGGGTAACCAGCACATGTGTAGTTACCAAAATCTTCATAAATACCAAACTTAAGATCTTTTGAATGAATCTATATGGCAAAGTGAAAAAGAATGAGACTATAATTTGTTGGAAAAAGATTGATGAGAATTACTGAAACCTACATAGTTTGCAAGACTTTTCATGCCATATGGAAATCTTTGTCTATCTGGTACAAGTTGACCGGTAGGGCTTCTGTCTTTTTCCAACCAACAATCATCGATATTAACATACTCATAGCCAACTGCAGCATAACCTTCTGCTACGATAATGTCTGCCATTGTGCGAAAAAGCTGGTCACTAAAGGGTAAAGATCAAGTTTCAAACAGCTTCCTATAGATAATTCTTTTATAATAGAATATGTTTAATACATTCATATAAAAGTATGCAATGGTGCAATGTATAATGTTTTGTTTCTCAATGGTATTTTTAGTTATTAATATATAACTGTTACAAAAATTAATTTTCTCTTTGCAAAGCACTTCGCTCATTAAATATTTATCTTTTGTTAGTAATGTAACCTTGAATAGATATATTAATTTACATAACAACTATGAGACAACTCTAAAGTTATTAAGAATCATTCTTAAGGTCACACCATCCTCAATTTGCATTTTATATTAGCTAATTCTCTTCTAATTGATACCTTGTAAAGCAGAAATACTTACAATTCTCATTAGATTATTATAGAATCTGCATATTCATGAAATATGCAAATTATCTTGTATAAGTTTAAACATTAAAATTTACATATAAAAGAATATATTTAATATTTTTTTTAATAATATACTTTAGAATAACAAAGTTCCAAATAAACTGTTTTGTATAATAATGATGATCAGTGATAGTTTCATGGTTGTAAACATATTACCTATTTAAGTTCTCAGTTGGTATTTCCATGGATAAAAATATTGAAAATTTGTATATTTTTTAAAATACATAGTTATTCATGAAGTTATTTTTCTAATGAAATCATATAAAACATATTTGCTACCTGTCTAATAACTAGAATGTATGCTATTACTCTTTAGATTTAGAGATATAACAGAGATGCTAATGAAGTTTCACTTTATCATAGAGAATCACATTGTACCATAAAATACTGTTTTAAAAGTTACAAGAATGCCGGTGTAATATTTTGACCTAAAAAGAGCAACGAAAGGGAGCAGCTTTAAATTTAAATATTAGAAAATTTAAGAAAGAAGAAGAAAAAAGAAAACTATTTGAAATCAATACTCTCACCTGATACAATTATCAGGATCATTTTTGCAGTCTGTGTTGCACCTAAATCGTTCCCAAGCGAGCCATCCCATGGGTGGTGTTTTCACGAGACCATTGTCAAGGGCCAATGTCAAATCTCCCACTGACACAAGCAAACACCATATCCATACCATCTGTAACATTCTGCAAAACGCACGTTTCTTTTTATTATTCTCCTTTCACCGACACAAACACTGGATCGACTGTTGTTTTACTATGATTCCGGTATCATAATTTAGTAAAAAAAAAAATTTAACAGAAGGGCATGACTCTGTCGGAGTCTGGTAGAGATCTGATCATTAAGAGCAGCGCAAAATTGCCATCCACATCCTGCACGGCTCTTAGCAGACTGATCTGATATAAGACCTCCAAGCCAAGAGTACTTTCACCCAATGCCCCATTTCATTTTTACACACAATCACTGTCGTTCGTGGTGTGAGCATTGATTTCCTTTCGTACACATAACGACCGGCTTCGCACACTGGCTTGCTGATCGCCGTTGTAACTATTACGGTACAATTACGCCTAGGCAAGACAATTGTGAGTATTTTATCCGCGAATCCCCTTTGTCTTCGACTACCTAGAATGATCATACCTCATCGAACATGTTCGATTAGAGTTTTCTACTACGTACTTTGTAAAATCTGTCAAATTCAACTATATATCCTTTGTTTATTCGCGACACGTATACGTAGACTGTGCCACGTATGATGTTTGAAACAACAAATGCATTTAACTATCTGTTGCAAATATTACGAAATGGCGGGAAAAAGAGGCGTCGTGTAATACTTCGCGATCGAAGGAACGGACGATTATATTAATTTTCGAGTCGTTTGACGATCATTAATTTAACAATTACGATCATTATTTACGTACATGGCACGTAAGTAACGTTAATCTCGACATCTCGACGCCTGGAGGGAATATGTAAGATACCGAGACACGTCACATAGATTTCGATACGAGGCGGACGGTTTAGCTAGTGAATAAAAGCGTGCACGATGTGGATTCCAGAGTTACTGTTGGCTCGTGGAATATTTTGGAAATAATTGTTACGAAACAAATAAAAAGAAAGATCGAACATTGATAAAAATCAAACTTTTTAATTTAACCGAAAAACAATAGAGCGAGTAGTACTTCATTTATATTTTTTAAAGCTTGTTTATTCGAAGGAAATCAAAAAATAGCGAAAAGCTAACGATTATTTTGCATAACATGCATGATTCTTGATCGCCAACAGTTTTACGACATTACTTTCTATACTTTCATTTTGATTACCTAATCGAAAGGAAAAATCAATCACACAAAGGATATCGATTGATTTTTTTCGGTTTTCTTTATCGACCGACGATATTCTAGCTGTATCGAGCCAAACAGTTGCAAATTAAGATTTGATAAGTAAAAAAATCAATTTTCTAAGATGAGAAGATTTCTAACATTGTTCGAATCTCACAAAAATGTTAAATTTATAAGAAAAAAATTAAATTATGTTATTACCAAATTAGAATACTAACGTTGATGGTTAAACAATTGATCGATTGTTCGTCGAGCACTACGAGTAACGATGTCGACGTGTTGTACAGAAAAGAAACTATAACATTCCTGTATGTGCCCTCTGTTTATATCCTTCTATACACCAGCACATTTTCACCTATGTATATTAGATAACATCTAATCTATAATTCTTTCTTGTTATTGCAAAAATCATTTCTCTTGATACATATGATTAGATAAAATTATAGTTGGCTGTTTTCAATAAGCACACTTGATCTTTCGAAGTGATTCGGATGCAAAATTTTTCTTACTACAGACAGCGTAGACAATTTAAATATTTTGAGTGGGAATGCCATAGTTTTCGAGATATTAGGTTAGGTTTGTAAATTCGAGAAACGTTTGATATTTGTACGTTCGAGCCAAATAGACGACAGATAATCGTTTTGGTATCGTACAATAATTTGTTTTATAGATAACAAAGTTTTCTATCGTCTATCTGTGTGTATAATTTTTGTTTATGTTACGAACGACGTGAGCAATATTGATATTTCGATTGTAATCGTGAAGTAACATTTTTTCACCAATTATTTTCCCAAATGAAGATTAGATATACCTATCTTCATCGATAATCTGACAAACTTAGATTATAAAATTTAATAATTTTGGTAAATTGAATAGAATTTTTGATATATTAAATGTTATCTTCAAGATAATACATTTTAATAATTAGTATTGCAAAAGTAATGAAATTCATTCCCCTTGTCGGTGCTTCTATTTTCAGTTTACTACCGAAACAAGAAATAAAAGTTTAATTTACACGGATAAAATATTTGATAATTGGGAACTCGGAAATTTATTTAAGGAGGAGGGTTGAGTGGGAATAACTCGAAAAATATCGAGTTTTCAACCTAGAATGTTACATTTTTGTAAAGCGGGTGTTGAAATTTAGCATTATACAAAGTTGCAATTAAGGGGTAATGCCACTCTAGCGCCCGGAAAAACAGCCTAATTTTGAGAATTTTTTATGCGAATATAGTAAATGGAATACAAAATCTGTTTGAAGGCCTTTATTGTACATACTTTGAAGTATGATCACAATTTTTTTTAAGTTTTTTTAATACAAAACGGCGACGGTACAGCTCCGCAAAGGAAACTTCTTCACACGGATAGTGTTCCGCGGCCGGAAAAATTTCTCCTTCAATTTTTGACCTGGAACAAAAAGCATCAGTTTTTGAATTCTATATAAGATTAGCTCGGGAAGTACATACGAAAATTAAAAAATACCGTTTTCTGTAAGAATGGTGCATGATGGAAGAAAAAGTTTCATGTTCAAGTAAACATTACGTGAAAAATTGTTCATAACAAAAAAAGTTTACAACGACACGCAAAATCCGTACGTACTTCCCTAGATAATATAATTTTGAAAGTACAGTTAAAATTTCAAGTGAATCAGTGAAGATCTGTTCAAGTTATGTTTCCGGCCAGTTTGAAAAATGCAGTTTTGAGAAAAACGCCTTTAAAGCCTTACGTATCATTTTTCGATAGAATTTTTTATTTACCTCTAGTCTGCGATGCCTGCACCATACCAATTGGCCTTCTAAATTGATGCTCTCCTCCTCTTCTTCCTTTCTGGCTGATTTTAAAGACAGTCGAGCCTCTTTTGCAGCATCAGTCAGCGATCTCTCCGAAAACTTGATGCGGCGCGCGTCAGCCTCCGCGCAGTAATTGTAGCAGTTGGGCCCGATTGTGATACCTAATACCTCCATTCTGTATACTTTTCAGTGTCACTTCTTTTATTCCAAAACTCGCAAGCTTTACAATATTTAGATTTCACACCAATATCAATCACTTTTCCAGTAAACCATCCGATAAGCGACACTACTCCATACAGAGATGAAAAGCCACGTTTCCTCCATGTTCCATCGCCTGAGATAGTTAGACCATTCTTTTCGTTATTTTCAATAGACTTAGCCTTCTCCTCTTGTGCCGCTTTCTTCATACTTTCTTGACAAACAGCTTCTGTTCCGACAGAAATCGTGCGGACAACTTTATCGTAAAACGAGTGAAAAATCGGGCGTGGGAGGTCCATGAAGGCGCAAAACTTTACTATTCCATTTACACCAATTCCTAATATCCGCATAGCAAGGATAATTCTGCGATTAATTTCATAACCTTTATCAATAAATGGGCAACTCGAAATGAAGGTTTGTTCACAATTCTCACAAGATATGACGATTTTAAATCCTAAGCCACGCTTGCCTGTTTCGGTAAATTTCACATTTGATTTGCACTACAACTTCTGAAATAGCAGAAAAAACAGCGATAAAGTTCAATAGACGGTAACCGAATGCTTCATCGACTTCAACGTTGTTACAATCTTCGGACAGTTTCAGTTTTTTGGCAGATGTGCTAACGCTTTCGAGCTGCGGCGACTCCATTTCAAATCGATTCAACGGTCGTCTCTTTGATATATTCGATCAGTTGCTTTTTGTTGAATCGTTGTATGAATTTCATTGCTCGGTTCGTTATTTGTGGTGCGTCACGAAACATGTCGTTTCATTTATAATAGCAATTCAGCGTTTGAACTGATGCTACACAAATATATTTGGGTTTTATTTACTCACTTGTTTTTTAATCACTTGTGCCATCTAGGTCTCCAATTTGAAGCATAGAATATATTAGCATGAACAGATAATTCGATTCCTTTATTATTCCAGGCAGTATAGTCATAAAAGCAGTGCGTCACACAAACGCTCTTGGAAGGAGCTCGGAGCGCGCTGCAACGTGTTTAGCCACATGTCACGGAATAAGCACTAAAAACATTTTCCCCCTTATAAAACTTACTGTGCCTTATTTCTAAGACCCTAAGCCATCATTTAAGACAAAAAAAATTTTTAGCATTTTTTTAATATTCTAGAGTGGCATTACCCCTTAAGTCGATGGTCCCGAAGCTCCTGTACCATCCTTGATAGTTATGGAATCGATTGATTATCGGCGAGTATAAATCGAACTTGATCTCGCCACTAATTAGAATGCCCGAAGTATTTATTGGTTCTCCGTCATCGGGTTTGTATTGCGCTAGGGAGGGTCGAGGGTAGCGCCACGGTGCGTCGCACCACCGAATCATTTTCGTTCTTCGTCTCGCTCGCGTACCATCTCTCTCCGTTAACCTCTTCCTCGTTCTCGTTCGTTCGGTAGCACTGGTAGCAGCGAACCCCCAACAATCCCGCAGCCACCGTCGAACGCGGGGCTGCTGGAGGGTCGGTCTGTTTCAATAGTCGAAGGGAACGCGTGCACCATCCGGGTAAAATCGGTGTATATTTTGTTGTGTCACGCGCAGCCCACGTCCAACGACAGTTCTGCGCGGTCAATTTCTCACGGATCCCCTGCGACTTTTCTCATGTGAATAAATCGTCGCGCGTTTCCCGACGTGTTATGGCGTGGAAGTGGTGGTCAACCATTGCAGTGCTGTCGTTTTCGTCCGACGATACCGGGATATATCGCCACATCGACGCCCAGCTGTGTTGAAATTCGCCACCGACGAAACATGAAGTTACCACCCCTGTCATGACCCAGGTAAGGGAACATCGGCGATTCTCCATCAGTTAATTGCAAAATTTCGCACTTAGGCGTTGGACCCCGTTTCGTCGTAGCGACAGGACGTGTTACAGGTCGAAAGAATTTTAACGAGCATCGATATCGGTTAATTTCTGGTTTTTAACAGATGTCACGATGTCGTTTTGCACGTACGAGGTGGTCTCGCGAGGACGTCTCGGGGTGTTATTTATTTTTGGATCTTTCGGTCGATCGTTTTCGTCGTGACGCTTTTTTCTCGTTCGAAGAGATCTGCGGCAAGTCACGTCGGATCGCGATAGGGTGCATTTGCAATCTGTTGGTGCATACGAAGCACCGTGAAATCTTTCGCGAGATCAATGACTCGAGACGGTGTGTTTCTTGTAAATATTTTTCGTTTAATTTAAACGACATTTACGAGTTGGAGGTGTAGCGATTCGCGAAGGTGTTGGGCATTTATTTGAATGGCAGATTCGGTGCCATTGACGTGCAAGCAGTTGGGACAAATCGCATGAATGGGTAATGGCGGCAGCCCGAGACAATAATTTTAGATAGTGACACGCATATAGCGCTGCGATCGTTCCATTGATCTGTGTAACGTTGACGTTCCACATTTTTCCGATGAGTTTTTCTCTAGTACATCGACAATTTCTCGCTGCACGTCCTCGCGATAGTTTGAATTCCATAATCGCTTCATCTGTTGGAAATAACGATAGTCTTTTACAGTCATGCCGAATCGTGCAGTAAGGAAGCGTAAACATTTTCCTGAACAATGTTATACATTCAGGCGGTAATAATAGATCAGACAACGGTAATTACCGTCTGCGGACGCGTTGAATGCGTGCGTACGAAGTTTGCTACGTTTACATAGAACCGTGAGCCGCCACCTTGAATTACTTTTTATTACAGCGCCCCGCGCGATGTATACATTACAGGTATGACGTATGCTTTTAACGCGGGTACGTAATGTCTGTGTACTACGTGAGTTGTGTAAATTATTCAGGATGAAGCAGCCTGACGTGGACACTACGTCGATTTATAAAACAGAACTGACAATTCTTACTACCTTCTATTATTGTCAAGTATCGTGCAATAATTATTACGTTTATAACTCGCCGGTATCAAATATAAAACAGAATATTCGGTTAAAAGACCGACTTAAAAACAAAGAACATAGAATGATACAGATGTTGTCCTTTCGTTTGCAGTGACATTAGGAAGAAAATGTAGAACCCATAATCACGGATAAACGGAGGATGTTTTAATGAAGCTGTAAAATGCTAACTAGCCGTTGCGGCACGTGTTATCGAAAAATCACCGGGACAGAATTATAGATGGAGCTGATCGGCCAAAAAAAGCGCCGTTATGTGCGATGACGTTCCTCATTCGTAGCCCGTTTTGGCTCACTATTTACCATATTTTATCTAGGGCGGCGCGGGTAAATCGATACGCGCTACTTTCATTCATGGCTGCCTCCCCTCACGGCTGGCACGTTGCCTCCGCGTACCACCACCGAGAGCAACCCTCCTACCACCACTATTCCATCCATTAGTGGCACGGTTATCTCTGTCGCAGTGATTCTCAAATTCCCTACCCTCCTCTGTGGTCATCCCCGCGCGGTGACGTCACAGAAGGGAATCGAATCGTTTCGAGCGTTAGTCGAACGGAAAGTTGGTACGTTTTTGGCGAGATGTCTCTATATCCTTCTGTTAAACCATTTGTTCGTAGTCATTGCTTTGTTCTCATAGTATTTTTCATTCTTTCTATTTACTTTTTTAGTAAATCGTAAGTCGTGGGGTTAACGGATTGGAGGTAAAGCTGGTGAAAGGTTGAGATAGGTTCGGTAGCCACCATCGCAGCCCACGGTTCACCATATTGCATCGCAATGATGCCCCCCCACCCTTAGGTGGTGTCGTCACGTCACTGCTGACGCCCTTTTACACCTCCACAGCTGAGTATTTCAATCGCTGTAGCGTTCGTGCCCCGGTCTCCCTGACCCTTCTTCATCCCCGTTTCGTCGTCATCGGATCCACGCCATCTCCCCTACGCTCTTGCCTCCCTTTCCCGTTCTCCCGTGTTCACGTTTCGTCGACGTTCTCTCTTTCTATTTTTAGCGTATTCCGCGACGGAATAAATGGCCCCGTAACCGCCTCGTTCCTCGTCGATACACAGGGACCGGGGCTCGAACTTCCCCGATAAGAAATTCAAGCGTGCTAAGAATAGTTCGCCGCCGGCAACGGAAGACACCACCGTCGGGTCAGACTTTGATTTACACGATGGAAACGTTTCCACTCGGACGAATACGTGTAACCGAAAGATCGACATTTTGCAGTCGACCCATTCCAGTTCGACATAGCGCGAGACCTACCGTTTAAATATTCTTATCAAGATTTTTGTATCTAATGACATTTCGACGGTACGAAAAATTGATTTCCGTTAGCTTAATTGTCAATCGGCGTTCTCTGTCTCGTACGGCACGACAGGCTCGTGACCCGGCTTGAAACGCGTTCCTATTCTTGCCTGGATCCGATTAGAAAGGATCCAAGGATTTTTTCCCTTTAAATTGACTGAAAATCTGATTGTAACCACGGACACCGCGTTTTACTGTGTATCCAGTCGTATGGTGTCAACCGTTTCCGTCTACCGATACTTTCTATTATAGTATTCCGGTTCGTGGTTTCATTTGTGTTTCACTCGTAGATTAATGCTAACTGGCAATCCCGAACGAGGAAAACAATCGTGGCGTTTCAACGTCTGTCGTCGACAGAACTTTTAATTCGTTGCAACCAACTCGAATTTCTATTACAGTCTCTCTTCGTACAACACGATTTAGCTATTATACGATTAATCTAGATTTTAAAGTCCAAGAGATTCAAATTACCCGGACGTTGAAATTTAAATCTCCACTTCCTTGTTTAAAACGTACCATTATCGAACGTTCGTATGGATTTTGGAATCGATTAATAACAATTTACTAAACACACAAGAAATTGATCACAAAGAGAAAGACGGTTGCACTCGTTTAGCTCGTGTTCGAGTTAGAGTTACTAACAGTAGAGAACATGATCGTTCGCGATCAGCCACGTTGAAAGTGCTACGGTTCTAAAGGTCAATCCCCCCTAGTCTGAAATTAATATCTTCTGCGCGAAGAAATGTTGCACGCGGAAGCAAACTACGTGCACAGTCCTTCGTTAGATTTCACCGTTTCGATTTTTATCAAAATTTCGCCAATGCTACGGCTATGCTTCCTCGCAATTCGCTTCGTATCGACCGTCGAACAATATTTTCGATTAGCATACTTTCATATTACGCTCGCTGTACCTTTACCAGATCGTTTCGAAATTGTATCGGAATTTTTCGAGCAACCGAATCGAAACGATCCCGTGTCCTCGTACGAATTGCACACGTAATACCAGGAAATCGCTAATTACGCTTTTGTTTCTCTTATCATAGCGCCTCGCGACAAAGTTGGTTTTACTTTCGTCGTCGTTCACGGCGTAATTACCGCGGCGATCATTCTGCACATGCGCCGTGGATCAGGATTTCCGTCAGCCCGACGATTATTATCCGTATTAAAACTATAAGTAGCGGCGCGAGCGCCTCGAAACTTCACGGTTCTCGTTCGCTCACGCGACCACCGTTGCCGTTCGAATAATAATAATAATAATAAAAGAACCGCCATTCTTCGACGGAACGTTAATTCGCCACGGTACATCGACGAAACGAAACTTGCAGCACGCGCCATCGAATGCACGATTCGCGTATTTGCGGATTACGCATCGTCCATTTGCAAGTTTCTTCGCTCTCGGAGAAAGTGGTTACAACCGCGCATTAGAAAAGTAATTAGAAGAGGGTTGCTTTTAATTCGCCGTTCATTAGCGTATCGAACTGTCAATTAAACTATTAATTCCATTCGTTACTTTGAAAAGGATGTTTCGTCTCGTCGCTGATAAATAAAACTATAACCAAGATAGTTTTTTTTTTATAATTGATAAAAACGATGCTCGAGAGTCCACGTTCGTTCGATATGAAAAACACGTTTCCTTATTATTCTTCTGCGTCTCATTATACATTCCCATAACACAAAGGCGGAATAATATTTTTAACCAAAATTGTTGAACATGTTGGGACGAAAGGTTGAGTGGTTTCAAGGGACGCATAATACGAATCGTGTTCGGGATCCAAGTATTATCGGTTGGAGCTATGGAAATGAGTTGGACCATTTTTTTACGATGTCTGCAGGTTCCTAAAAAAAAACAAAAAAGAATTGTACATCGGACAGAGGTTCGTTTTTGGGGAATCGATCGGTACCGTCTTTCCAGGAATTGACATCGCGTTTTTGTCCTTCGTCTCGTGGTTTTTGCGTTTCATTGACGCGGTTTATTAATAGGTGAAGTATTTGCCTTGAATTTTGTTGTGCAGCCCACGTAGCCCCGAGCAGCTGTCAAACAGTGTTTTTTCATCGGTTCAAGACTAGAAATAACGCTGTCACGAACTGTGTTACCAAAGAAAGATAAAACTCTTGAAAAATTTCAAATCCTTCATAAACGATGTTCATCCGTTTTCTAAACTTTTACGATTAGCGAACGCCACGAGGCCCAAGAGTTTCCTCATCTCTTGCCAAATTCTATGGATTGCTAATTAAATACAGCGTCGAACGACGAAGTTGCGTAACCGAATCTGTGAAAACGAATTTCCAATTAGATCCAAGTTAGTTACATGTCACACGAAAGCCAAGGAACGATTTTGGCTCTTATTTTTGAAAAACATTAATTGATAATTAGTAGCGTCGTTTGCACGAACGAACGAGTCCGCTTAAAAAATATGCGTCGGGTCGTTCGATTGCGAAAAATTAAATCAGAATACCGTGTCGCAACCAGACGCCGCATATTTTAGCGGACTGTGTCGTTCCAGATGCAAATTGGCCGAAGAGAATCTTGCAACACGCATGAAATTTCTATTAGAAGTAACCTGTTCCCGAAACACGCGCTACGCTACGGGAA